TAAGCGTCTTTAAGGTCTAATGTTGCCATATAGAAATCTTTTGATATTAATTTTAATGCAGTTCGTAAATCTTCTAATTCTTCGTAAATAAATATTATTCGTATATGATCCGTCTGGATAAATTTATTTAATCTCTTGAGATTCAATACGAGCCTCATTTTGCCATTAAGTTTTTGTATTATATTAAAAATATTAGATATAAACCGCCCTTATAAGGTATACACTCTGAAACAGCGTCAATTTGTAGAAGATTATTAATTGCATCAATATATTGATATTTTTCTGAATCTGTATGATTCTTGATAAACAGGTGACGAAAAAATTATTTTGTAACCCCTAATCCATGAAAGGATCAAGTGAACATTTGTGATAATAGACCATTAATCATAAAAGTGTGTTAAACGACCTGCATACTTAACTGGAATATACGTATCTAGTAACGACGTACGTAGTAACGACGACGTGGATGTTGTGTTGCGGCAGGCTGACGGAATCTCGGTCCCATGCCCGGCTGCTTGCGTGCCGGTGCTGGAGCTCTCCGGTTTAAAGGCCTTGAAGGAAGAATGTCGGTTCTTCTTGGCAGGTTTTTGGTATCATCAGAAACCACCTTTAGGTCTATGTCTGATTTGTTAACAGCTTCGGTCGATTTTATTGTTTCAGCCAATTTATAGCCAAATAAGAAGGTATCAACTTTTGTGTTTGTAATATATTCCTTCATATCCTTCTTTAAAACACTTAGAATGAAGTGTCGTCTAGTCATGGAGTCGCTATGCTGTATGTCACACATTAGACGGCTGAGATCCATCAGTTTTTGTAAAAGTTCTTTATCTTTTTGATTACAATTAAGCTATGTTGAAATAGCTTGACCTAAACAAGATATGGCTGAAGTCATTGGTTTCTTTTTTATCTTAATACCTTTATCACGCGTAGTAGCTAGTTCTGGAAGCTCTGCTTTTTATCTCGGGATTTATTGTGGGAGCACTACAAGTAAGCAGTTAGCTGGTAGTGGGTATTTATTTACTAATTATTTTTTAAGCTCTTTACTAATTCCTTCTTGGGCGATGTGTTGAAATCGCAATGGCAATTCTTTATGGACATCGCTACCATAATTATTAGTACACGTTGGATCGACTCCAAGAATTTCTAAAGTCTCAGTATCTAGCTACTGAGGCTCCACATTTGACGGGCCTGGACAGTTTTGACCAGCGTCTTGATCCGTAATCGGATTATTTTTTACTACAGACTCCCTACCGTCTGGATACGTTAACGCATCGTGAATCACATCTACATCGTCTGATGGAAGTTTTACAGTCTCTGGTTCTAGTATCTCTTCCTCAGGAGGATCTATTAACCAGTCTACTGATTCCGCTATTAATTAAGGCGTCTCTGACATATGCATCATATAATATATAAATATATGATGTGTATATGCATAAATTTATGCAATTGTATAAAAAAAAGTATAGTATGTGTCGAGTTCGTCCTGATAACGGCTCTGGGTACATACTAACATTGTTAACGTAGATACGTTAAAACCTAATATTTTTTGTCTCCAATAAGTATTATTGTTTATACAATACACCCCTATAATCAAATATTCTCTATAACTGAAATCAAAAGTAACGACTTCTCTTTTATATATATATATATATACGAGGTTTGTCCGGAAAGTACGTATAAAAGTTTTTTAAAAATTTTATTTTACAATTATTCAGGTAAATCAATTTTATCCCCTTCAAAGTACTCCCCCTGTGACATAATGCACTTGTGCCAACGCCGTTTCCACTGTGAGAAGGCTCCTTGAAAGTCCTCTGGTTGTAGGTTTCTCAGCTGCCCCGTCGTAGCTTTTTTTATCTCATTTATGTCCCCCAAATGCCGCCCCCGAAGTACCAATTTGGTTTTTGGGAACAAGAAGAAGTCACACGGGGCCAAATCCGGCGAATAGGGGGTGTTCGGTCACCGTAATGGAATTTTTACTCAAAAACTCACGGACAACAAGAGAGGTGTGGGCAGGGGCATTGTCGTGGTGAAGAATCCAACGCCCCTCTCGCGCCAATTCTGGACGAACTCGTGCCACACGAGCTTTGAGGCGTCTGAGCACATCGACGTAGAATTTTCCATCAACTGTCTGGCCTGGAGGGACGAATTCTTGATGGACAATCCCCCGAACATCGAACTCTTTCTCGGCCCTCTCTGAATCTTTTTAGCCACTTGTGGACGGTTGGTTCCTTCACAGCATCATCCCCATAAACTGTTCTGAGATCGGCAAAAATTTCACGGCCATTCTTGCCGAGTTTCGAGAGAAACTTGATTACGACGCGCTGCTCTTCAACGGAAGCGGGCTCCATGCCGACGGGGTTTCGTTAAGAGGTAACTTCACAGATGGCGTGACAAGCCAGTTCGCACCGCACGGCGGTCAGACCAGAACTGAAGCATTGTTAGGGACATAAGGAAGGGGTCCTGCGCTTACCTGGCCTCCCCACTCCTCTTTCTCGCATTCCAGAACACTTTTATACGAACTTTCCGGACAGACCTCGTATATATATATATATATTGCCAATAATTTATTTAAAAATATTTTATTAAAAATGAAATTCTATATTTATATTTATTATATCCTTTTATGGGTGTTATTTGGAAATGCGATAACGAAAGTTATCGAAACACGGCTGTTGTGTACAATTCCCGCTGAATTGCACGTCAACCATTTCGTTTGAATGCGGTGATATAGCCCATATGACTATCTCGATTGCATTCTTCTGGAGACAAAAATTACTTTTGTGTATAGATATAGTTTTGAAAATAAATACCTGGTCTACAACGACACTATGTAATGTTGAATGTTGGGTCGTTGAGATCACTACTATTCCTTTTTGGCATCTTTTTTTTTTTTTTTTTATTAACACGACAACGCGATGTATTATGTGCGGAGCGGTGAAGCACTAAATTGCGAATGAACAGGAAATGAAATGAACGGGCTAAGTAGACTATGTACCTACCGGGGAATAAAAAGAAAAAGGAAAAAGGGGGAATCCCTCTCTCAACAATAGTGCAGGGGCGGTGTCACTTGTGCGTTACTACATGTTGTTTATATTCTACGAATAATAATCTCTTCGGACGAAGCGCGAAGTATAATATTATATTACAACTATAACAGGATTGAATATTAAGAGAATGGATGTACTTATTGTATGGATGTTAAAATTCATATGAGTAGAAGAATTTAAATAAAGGATGGATGTACTATTAGACCAGCAATTTCACATTCTAAATTCAAACAATTTCAATGTTCACTTTTTTTTTCATTATAGCATGACATGTGAGCACGCCATTTTGAGCGAACACAGAGACAACATGGTCTATGAATATAGTGCAACTATAAAATATCTCGTAGTCTATTGATGTATGTGTTTTTTTTTTTTAATGGATGTATAATGTAAAGAATGATATGGTGGGAAAGGGAATGAATACCATGACTATTAGTTGCACAAAAAAATTATATAGACTATGTTAAACAAACAGGTTTTAAATGATAAATGTATCTTACTTACCTTTATTCAATATTATACAGTATGTCAATTAACGAAATCAATTTCTTTAGTGTTAGTATTCATTACGGGGTTTCAAAATATTTTTTTTTTAGAATAATTTATAAATGAATAAGTAATAATAATAGGTATGTACATAACATGTACTATGTAGTGCCATTGTTACATATACAGGTTTTTTTTTCAAGAATTTTAATTTATTTTTTAGTTTTTCACAATATCATAAATAACAGTCAGCTTGTTTGCCATTCTAAACTGTAAAAGAAAATATAAAAGAAAAGTATAAATAAGTGTAAATAGAAAATCTATGAAAAAGATTTTTTTTGCAACCATTTTTTACTAATGAATAACTACATTAGTTTTAAGGAATGGAATTCATTATTTAATATACTGTATACCAAAATCAAATTATAAAATAAATATATAAGTAAAGTAAAAATTTTACAATGTTATAAATCAGAGCTGTTGAAACCATGGCCCGTGGGCCACATGCGGCCCTCAGCTTGTATAGATGCGGCCCGCCAAATCTTTTCTAGCTACTACCATTATTGATGTTGATTTTGACAGAATTGTAAAGATAAATATTGAAAAAGTAATACAATAACAAAAGAATGATATTATGCATTTCATTTTGTTTTTACAAATATTTTGCGGCCCCCAAAGAATTTAATTACTTTTATTGGCCGTAGATCTTATCTAGTTTGGACAGCCCTGTTATAAACAACAATATATAATATTATAAATGCAAAAGATTGTAAACATATACGCTGTAAAGTGTCTGAAATGGCTTGAAAGAAATTTGGTACATGGGTTGGTCATATCCTATTTTAATACACAGGATATGTACTGATTTACATGGGTGAAGCCACAAGAAACAGATAATTTAAAATAGTCAGAGTAACACTATTTCATTCACTCTGATCTTAATTATCTTCTTTTTTCAGGGATATTGAACTAGTGTACTGTTGTATTTTAATTTTAAACAATTTTTTTTTTATATCATACCAATAGGCAAGGGCCAAATAGCATCAATATAATTTTGTGTGATCACTAATTCAAGGTTTTGTTTTTTATTAATATTTTCATTATGTCAAATAAAAGTAGAAAACTATATGTCACTAAATATAGCTTTCTAGTTTTTTTTTTTTATTAAAAAAAATACAATATTGTATTTTATTCTATGCTATGTGTGACATTATCAAAGAAGTTTAGCATGTGTTTAATATGCACAGACATATGGTTAATATGACAAGCACTTGTGGTGAATGGTCAAGTTTTTTATTAATAGTAAAATCTTTTCGCTCTACTTTTTTATTTCCTTGGAAATCTAAATGAGTTTTGGGCTTAACATAGCATAGAGACAACTTTACTCCACCATGATTATATGTTGAAATTTTACAATTAAGACAATGTTTAATAAAAAAATACCAATATAAATCTGATGTAAGTTACCCGAGTGCAAATGCATTGCATTGAAGGTTCCGATGCAACCTCGAAGACGATGCTCCTTCCCAATTTTCCATGTCACAAACAAGGGACTGAAAAAATTGTAAGAATAAAATATTACTCTTATAATTTTTTATAGGATTATATTAAAATTAAGAGAAACAACTGTGTAGGGTTTCTCAATCAAATAGTAAAATATTAATATAAATGTTCCTATGTCCTAGCATAGTAACTATTTGTAATGTAAAAAATTATAATAAATTATTGCATTTAAAAAATATCTTTAATGACATTTTATTAAGTGCAGATGTGTGTGTTAGTAAGTTATCCGACATGTTACTATTTCAAATGATCATACAATATTCAAATCAGACTTCAAACAAAGGAAGAGGTATGGAGGGGGCATGGAAGGTCCTTAGTGTATGATAAAGTATGTATGTGTATATATTCTTTACACTGTGTGTGTGTTATTATTAATATTTTCATATGAAAACCAAAGAGTTGGTCTATAGATAGCAATAAAAATATAATATTAATTAAAATATATAGATACAAATAGTTTTCCTTTAATATAAGCAGATGACACTGCATCTTTTTATATGCATTTGACCACATTGACCAATAATAGTTGTATGTGTGTGGGTACAGTAACACAGCTACCGACGAGTGGGTCTTAACTACATAATAGAATGCAAATAAGACTATGCAAATGAATTAAGTGAAAGCCATGATGTATTTAGCTTAACTTGTAAGTACTAATATGAGAAATATTGTTTTTAGGACACTAATTTTAGACTGATACTGATATTTTCAATGACCTTAATATAGACAAAAGAATTGATGGTAGTTAGACAAAGCATTCTACCAACTCTTACATGAGTTCATAGTTATATGATACCCAAAAAAAGATATACTTTAACTACTTACTAGGCTTCGTTAGTGAAATTTGGCGTCTGTGGAGGATCCATACTATGCAGTTGACAATATAAAACATCGAAACAAAAGTAACACATATCGGGTATAGCTACAGACTCTTGGTAACCATTCAAAGGTCGATCTATACTGTTACTGTAAGAGTTATTCAATTTTTGCTTTTTGGTTCCACAACATACTGAAGACATCTTGGTTGGTATTGTATATAAATATTAAGGTTTAGGAAACAAAGCAATCTCACAATTCACAAAAGTAAACGAAACCAAACACACTTCTCTTCAATGGGGGTTTCCTACAGATTAAAAATAATTTCTGTCTTTTCAATTTCCATTTGACAGGTAGTGATGTATTTTGAAGGAAAATATATCAAAAGGTGCTTTATTTTTATTGGTTGGATAGTCTTTAACTGTCTGTGGCTAAAAAAAATTTATTAGTTTATGGTAACTACGATGGCTGTCATTGAGTTTTGTAGAAAATAAGAAAAGAAGCTTTCAAAGTGCATAAATATGAAGATATTTTCGTGAATCATGTACATGTTTTATAGTTTTCCAATAGTGTTAAGTCTTGCAATCATTATGCGTTAGTTAAAATCATTTATAGATGTATAGTGAAAAAGCTTACTAAGTTCCGACGATGGCGTCCGATGGAGAAATTTCTTGTACGAATGATCCTAATTTCGCTGTTATTTACTCATTTTTAAAAGTATTTGGCAAGTTATATGGCCTATGTGTGCCTACTATAGCTAAATTACAAGAATTCATAGAGAATACACAAGAAGGTCAGTAATACGGTATGTTCTGTAGCATAGTTTTGATAAACAAACAACTTATTAGTTTCTTCTTGTTTTAGTCTTGGATCCATTGAAGGATATACATCTTAGACTGTTACGACGTGCCCTTAAGTCTGTACAGAGCAATAAGTGGGAGAAATATTTAATAAAGTTTTGTCATCAACATGGACACCATCAAGAGGCTTGGGAAATGGAAAGGTTCTCTTACAAAAAAGCTAGCACACAAGTGAAATTAAAAGTTTTAAAGGTAAACCAATACCTATGTTTAACTGCAGTATTAAAAATAATAATAAACATAAAGTAAACATAAATATTTGGAACATGGTGTTGACTGTTTATAAATGCATGTGATCAATTTTATTTCAATTAAGATTATTTCTATTTTATTGTAATAGATTCATATTAAAAATCTAGTGTCCGTTTTGCTTATAATCAGCCTATTATTGCTTACAAAGTGATTTTTTTATCGTGTGTATATTTATTATTTAAATATTGGTATATGATTGTACACTATTTACTTGTAAATTAAATTGTTTTAGCTACTTCTGAATAAATTAAAGTATTAATGGTAGTAGAATTTAGAATATGTAATAATTAGAATTAAATTAAAATATTGATTTGCTTGTAATAATGATATTTTTTATTTGCAAATATTGTGGATTAAATGTCTTGTCTAGTTGGTGCTATATAAATATACTAGCCTTTATTCTCGATTTCATCTGCATTATTAGCATATATTGATTGACCGGTATTTCACTTATTATTATAAGTAGCATGTTTTTTTTATCCTAAATAATAATAACAATAAATGTGTTTATAGTTATTTTTTACAAATAAGATACAGTAATTACAAGATAAATACAAATAAATAGAACATATATCAATAAATACATTATAAAGTACCAATATGCCTGGCAATAAGTACATACTCAGCTTTCACGGGATTTATGTGTGTTCAGTGCTAATTTTCAGTTTACACCTACATGGGACACCATTTTATTACCAAATATGATACATATATGATATATGTATGTTATGCCAAAAAGAAAGTATAAATATATAAATTAAAAAAATTAAAAACTTAAGAAAAGAAAAAACATTGCATATATAATAATATATGTATATCAAATCTAATGATGAAATTTGGTGTAACTATGGTTTGGTACATTATCATATTTTTATTATTTTTCCAGGTACTGCTGGAATATCAGTTCACATGTCATCCAAAATTTAAAACGGCTGTTAATGCGATATCATCTAAAGAACTTAGACTGGATCCAATTGGAAGGGATAAAAATGGTTGTGTTTATTGGTACCAAGTGGATCAAGAGGCGAACCTTTGTTTGTTCAAAGAGGACCAGGATGAGGAGACATGGCAGTTAGTAGCTAGGTAATAAATTGTATATCTTATATACAATATTTGATTTGTTGATTTCTATTTCTTTATAGATAAATCATAATTTCTGTTAACTCTTGGCTCCTATGTTGAATACAATTAGACACTCTGTTATCAGTGGAGGATTTGAAACTTTTCATTTTATCACAGTAGTGTATATAAAACATTTAGTTTTATATAATGTCACATTATTTTTATCATAAAAAATATAAAAAGCAGCATAATGAGATTTTTTATTGTTAAAGATGATCTAAGTAGATATGATTAGAAACAATGGTTTGATTGTATGGAGATAAACATATATTAAACAAAAACAGTGGGACATATGTATGCAATTAAAATTATTTGTTTTTATTGTCTATATTTCTAATAGTATATTATTGTATTTATCAAAATTATTTATACTAAATTTTTAGGAATCGTGAGGAATTAGTCAAAGTTATAACACAATTGAAAAATGGAGAAGAAGTGTGTCCATTAATTACATCTAATAATAATGAAGACTCAAGCAGTGCTGAAATTCCTCCTCCTTTGGAGGTATGTATGCATAAATAAATACAAGTAAACTGTTCCAATGTTTATCATTATTAATTTTTGGCATTTTTATTTTCCAGTCAAATAAACCTCAGGATGATGACGATAATGAGGAAGAATTTTTAAGTCCTGAATCTGAATCAGAACATGAAGAAACCCAAAAAGTTGAAAAAACCCCAGAACAAAAGTCAGAAGAAACAGAAGAGGAATCCAAAAATGACAATATAGAAACAAACACAGAAACTAAGGAAGAAGAGAAAAGTGTTGAAGGGCCTACTGAAACTCCTAGTAATACAAATGTCGAAACTCATTCCGAGACTCCTATTGAAAATCCCATTGTAAATGTTACAGAGGATGTAAAAGAATTGGACACTCATAATGATGAATCTCCTAAAAATAAATGTGACCAAGAAGAAGTTAGTGAAGCAATAGAAGAACCTGTCATGATTGTTACTGGTGAAGGCAATGGGGTAGACTGTGAAAGTTCTTATATTATAGGTGATGAAATTATAGAAGATGTAATGTATTTTTTTGGAGAAGGTTGTGGTTTTGATAATGATACTGGTAATCCAGAAGCAATTGAACAAGCGAATACACCCAATGAAAACAGTGAAGAGGAGAATGGTAATGAAGAATGTGTTAATGGAGAACATCAAGAAATTGGTAATTTAAGTAGTAAAAATAAAATAAGTAAATCTGTAAAGTTAAAAAGTAACATACCTTCTGTAACTAAGAGAACATTGAGAAAACAATCAAATGACACAAGTGATACATTGAAATCAGAATCAAAGAAACACTGTGTTCGAAATTCTGACAAATCTGAAACTTCTAAACCTATAGAAAGAGAAGGAAGTGTTAATGATAAAAGTACTACGGACACTGAAACTTCTAGGAAAAACAATATTAAAAAAAGTATTAGTAAAGTTAAAAAGAAAATTGATGTAACAAAACATATACAGCATGATAAAAAAGAAGTAATAAATTCTGTATCAGAGGTTGATAATGGACATGACAGTAAATCAAGTATTATAGAAAAGAGGAAAAGCAGTGTTTCATCAGTGGATCAAGATGACGGAGATCACATAGATAATAATAAAGAAGCAAGTCCTGATAAAGAAATCAAAGCTGAAGATCCTTTGCCTCCTAAAAAATTACGATTAGAAACAACTCCAGAGAGTGATGTCAACATCTCACATTCCAAGGACAATGTAGATAAGGTAGATAATGTAAATAACAGTGAAAATATCGAAAATACAAGTAAAGATCCAGAAGACGTTGAAAATGCTGTAATAAATAGGAAAAAGATTAAAGCTAACAAAGGGAAGTTCAAAAGAAAAAAGTTTCTTAAAAATACAAATGACAATGATCCACTTTTAGAGAAAAGTATTGACAAAGATAGTGTTAAGGATAAAAAATCTAAATCATTAAAACGATCCCTTTTAGATGTCACTATGAGTGATAAAAATAAATCAGAATCTCAAAGTGAGACAGAAGATGACGAGCCTGTGACAAAAGGAAAGCGTCAGAAAATTAAGCCCAAGAAGATAATAACAACTACTAGGTAATAAAAATTTTCTTATCTATGGTAAATTTTATCTATGGTAATAAAAATTTTCTTATCTATGGTAAATTTTCTTTTACTTTTAGTGTACATTTTATATTAATAATATAACACTAAAATTTACAGAAAAAAAGTAGAAGCTAAACTTTTAGAAAAGCAATCAAGTGATGAGTCTGAAGAAGAAACACTTTACAGTATAGGTAATGTTTTTTCATTTTAAGTTTATGTTTATATAAAATTAATTTATGCTATTTTTTTTTAATAAAATATATTCCTTTTGTAGCTGGTAAGAAATCAAACAAGAAAGTTCTAAAGAAGAAACCTAAAGGCAAAGAAAAAACGAAAGAAAAAGATAAGAAAAAAACTGATCCTCGTTCGGACGAATCTGATGTCGCTCCTGTTAGACAGTCCCGCAGAATAGCACAAATGAAGATAAAAGAAGAAGCAGAGAGGAGACACCTGGAAGAGGTGGCTTTGAGGGAGATGAAAATGATACATAAGAAAAAAGTAATTGCAAATTTTGCTTCAATCGACAACTTATATGTGCCATATATAAATATATATTATTTATATATACCAGAATTTAATATTATATTAATAATAATTTTATATAAAAGACGCTTGCTTGAGTACTTTTGTCCCATTCGTGTTTCAACCGTAAAGCAGTTGTGTTTGCATGGCTGTGTTTCGGTCTGAAGGGTGGGATATGGCGTGAATTTACAGGGTACAGAGGAATAACACCTGAGTCCTCAGGAATGACAACGCATGGGAAGTATCATGGGCGAAACTATATACTCTGTTATGTCCATGGTAACGCTCATGTCTATAGGCGACAGTTACCATTTTCCATCAGGTGGGCCGTCAGCTTGTTTGCCATTCTAAGTTGTATAAAAAAAAAGATTGCTTTATTCGCGATCTCTAATGTTGTCCGTGTGCGACAGTGAATTTAATTTGCTATTGTCATGGAACCTATTAACACCTTACAACCTTGTATGTGTTAGTATGGTCTGTGACAAAATATTCCATAACAGTGGATTTGTAAACCTCAAACAAGTGCATGTGAATGAAGACAACTTGTATTGTAATTGTGTAATGTGAGTGGGTCTGGCTGGAGTGGACACTACACTGGTGTGGTGGTGGTGGCAGAAGAAGGAGGAGGAGGAGGAGGAGGAGGAGGAGGAGGAGGAGGAGTGGCGTGCGAGCGGCGGCAGCAGCGGCGCGGGCGCGCGGCGGCGGCGCGGCGCGGGCGCGTGGCGCGCCGCCGACTCGAGCGGGCCCGACGCCGACTCGGACTCGGACGAGCCGCTGTTCGAGCTGCACGACGAGCCCGACCGTCAGTATCCGCCGTATAGCGCCCCACGCCCACCCGTAACCGCCCACCGATGCTACGCTACTTCCAGGGCCTGCAACCACCTCGCTCCACTCCACCTCGCTCCACCTCACTCCACCTCACTCCACCTCGCTCCACCTCACTCCACCTCACTCCACCTCACTCCACCTCGCTCCACCTCACTCCACCTCACTCCACCTCACTCCACCTCGCTCCACCTCACTCCACCTGTTGCCCCGATTCCTCAGGAACTTCCTTAGCTTCCAGGAACATCCGTGTGGAGAGTATATTGGTAGCTGTAGGAGCATTACTCCCTGTTAACGATCCCTTTCCTCCTTGGTTACGTTTACTAACACAGTACATTGTGACTCCATTTCTGGGCTTACAATGTAAGATATATACAACCAAACCGACCTCGTGGGGGAAAAGGGATTATTAGTAATGGAGACTGAAAATTCCATTGCTAGCAATATACTCAACCAGGTCGACTTCCTCGTGGCGGGATTACCATACCATTTTCATCCATAAAAAAAAAAACAATCTCGTTGCAGTCCCCTTAAATATTATTGTGACTAATTTCTAATAAAATTATTACAGTAGGTCAACTTTTTTTTTTGATGGGTGAAAATGGAATGGTAACCCCGCCTGTGCTAACGGGATACGCTGGCGGAGCACCAGTGAAGGGTGATAGATGAGAATGAAAACAGGCCAGATAGCCCATTATGATGAATTCATCAAAAATTAACCATGATAGTTTTCGGGGGGAACCGCGAGGAGGTCGACCTGGTTGGGGAAACCTATTACTAGAATTATACCTTAACAGATCGACCTCCAAGTTCTCCATGGAAATCACCATGTTTAATTTTTAATGAATTCATCATGATAGGCCAACTGACCTACTCGTTCTCGTCAGGGGGGAAGGGATTGTTAGCAATGGAGTTTGCTAGCAATATGCCCTATCAGATCAACCTCCGCGTGGTTCCCCCTGGAAACCATTGTAAACAATTCTCGTTGAATTCGTCACGATGGGCTAACTGACCTACTTCATCCTCACCTATCATCCTTCACTGGTGCCCCGCCGGTGTATACCGATAGCGCAGGTGGGGTTACCATTCCATTATCATCCATTTTGAATTGAATTTCCATTTCAATGTCATACTAGATACAATAATTTCATAATATAAAATAAAAATGGAAAAATCTGTTAAAAAAATTTTGGGGAGGGTCACCCTTATCATTGAGGGGTATGAAAAATAGATGTAGGCCGATTCTCAGACCTACCCAATATGCACATAAAATTTTATAAAAATCGGTAAAGCCGTTTCGGAGGAGTTTGGTAACAAACACCGCGACACGAGAATTTTATATATAAAATATTTAAATTTACTATAATTATAATTCGTCAATTGAGTACAGTCACCTTTCTAGCAGTAATGACTTCAGTTTTGTCCTAAAGATATTTAAATCATTCAGTGATTTTAATTCCTCAGGCAGCTTATTAATAAATTATGGTGGTTTGTAGAGTTCTTTATAATACTTGGAATTTCGTTTAAATAGAAATTAATGTTGTGAAATAACACCACCGCTTGGTTTCGTGGACAGTGTTGTATTATGTTAAATGTGGGTATCGTTTCATACTATTTTACCAGAGGGAGACTTTGTACGAACGTCGATTGCTTGGGTACCTCTGTCCCATTCGTGTTTCAACCGTGAAGCAGTTGTGTTTGCATGGCTGTGTTTCGATTTGAAGGGTGGGATATGGCGTGAATTTACTAGGTACAGAGGAATAACACCCGAGTCCTCAGGAATGGCAACGCATGGGGGGTATCATGGGCGAAACAGTATACTCTGTTATGTCCATGGTACTGCTCATGTCTATAGGCGACGGTTACCACTTTCCATCAGGTGGGCCGTCAGCTTGTTTATCATTCTAAGTTGTATAAAAAAAAAAAAAAACCTCTCATTATATTACCCTAAAGATTTATCTTAACACATGTTATTTCAATGTAAGTTATTTTTTATGAACAGTGGACTACTCGAAATCAGACCACGAGTTCTCGCCGGAGTCCGACTTGGAGAGCGGCGAGCCAGTTGAACCGATCAAGAGGGCGCGAACACTTCACGAGGGTGAGTACTGAAATACAGCAAAAAATGACAATAATAAAAAAGCTGGTCAAGTGAGAGTCAGACTCGCACAACGAAGGTTCCGTACAAAAATTAAGTAATTTTTTTTATGAAATAACTAAAATTTACAGTTTGCCAATTTTTTCCTTTACTTGTGTTATATGACACTGCTTCTTGCCAAATTTCATGATTCTGGATCAATGGGAAGTACCTTATAAGGTTTGGATTCCCTTTGCAAATGTTAAAATATGTGATATAAACGGAACATAAACGGCCGTACTTTTGATTGAGTGGATTTAGAAGCTTGATTTTTTTCTCTGATTTAAGAGATTGAAGACCTGTTTATATGATATTAATTTCAACTTGATACCTTCACGCGTTCCTAAGAACTTGACAGACGGATGGAAGGGACAATGAAGTGATCCTATAAAGGTTCCGTTTTTTCCATTGCAGATACGGAACTCTAAAAAGTAATTTAATATTACTATATGTATAATACAATTGAATAATGAAATTGTAACAAGCGTATATTTGTATCTGGAAGATATTTAAGAAAAAAATATATGTTTATTAAGAACTATGTCTGTCTATGCAAAAACTGTTAGGTCAAATTGGATGTGAATTTCATATCTGTGTTGCTGAAAATCTGACTTAAAAACTGTGTATATTTTTGTCTTGATATGCCATCCAATAGTGGTCCATTTCATTGATTTTTGAGGTAACAAATAATGTCGACTTTTAACATTTTACGTACGTTTACGTACGTACGTACGTAGTTTACGTACGTACCTATCGTGATACAATTTCAATGACTGGATAATATTGTAACAGATTCTTAGACTAAGTATTTCTGTAAAAAAAAAGTGTTGTCCTCCTCTCTCGTACTCGCTGTACCCAACAGGGTCCATAATTGAAGTTGAAATGTTATCTACTAATTATATTATGGAATGCAATAAGAAATAAATAAATAAATAACAATTCTGCAGAAAGATACGATTTAAGTCGATTGGTACACATGTATGACTGTAACTACTAATGAACTGTCAGTTTTCTCATATTGGGTTTGCTGGAAGAAATCTCTATTGGAGATAAGCTCGCCTTTGTGCACTATTATGTTTGTTTTACCATTTCAATAACATTTTGTGTACAATAAAGAATAAAGAAAGAAAGAATGAAAGATATCATTATATTTCTTATTATTGCGCGAATTTTAGTAGGAAACCGTCGATGTAGTGTGTTGACTTCGTACATGGCGTGTTTGCACGGTGATTTAGACAGTCAGGTTCCCCACTGTCCTGTCCACGAGTGGCTGTTGAGTTTGTGTATCGATCTGTTCGCCAGCAGAGAGCGCGCACTCGGGTGGTTGCCGGCGCTGCGGCAGCGGCGAACAGCCCGAATGGATCCTGCTGTGCGACCGCTGCGACGCCGGCTACCATGCCTCCTGCTTAAAGCCGCTGCTGCTGCACGTCCCCGACGGCGACTGGTTCTGCCCGCCCTGCAATCACGTTAGTATCGACAAGGGCCCATTTTTACACATATACCCAAACCTACAACCAGGAAGGAGTAGCGAGAGGGATTGTCAGTAATGGGGATTAATGACGCTATTACCAGCTATGTATATACCTTTCAGACCCTCTGGTGGCTAGCGAATTCGTCGATGGAATCGGCATCGCTAGCGAGTCCGTGAGATAGAATGAGATAGCAACGTCGGATGTCTCATTCCAACTCACGGACTTGGCTAGCGATGTTGATTCCATCGACGAATATGCTTACCAGTGGTCTAAAGGGCCTGGTCGACTTCCATGCGATTTCCCTGGAAACCATTGTGGTTATCACATTAGCTGTTAACTGTCCACTGCTGAGCAAAGGCTTCTTCCATAAAGAGGTTTTACCAGTCACACTTAGCAGGCGGGTTGACAATCGCAGTTAGTATTTTGGTGATGCTTTAAGAGGGACGTTGCTGCCCATCCCTCGACCAATAAGTTCCCCCCCGTTCGATCCACCGACCCACCGTCCCTTGACGGGGGCCGAAGTATGGCGGCCCGAGCCGAGGTTCGAGCCACTTAGGCGCCCTCGGGCGCACGCCGCAGTCCATTAGAAAGAGCTGACACCTCTGTCGCTCCCCTCTCGCGGGCTTGGAGTGCCATCTGCACTCGCCCCTGCATTCGCGTCCGGTGAAACTGTAAAGGCCATCTGCGACTAACAACAATTACGGTTAGAAAAAAAAAACAATGAGTTCCCATAGTCGCCTCTTACTACATCGATGGGAAGGGAAGGGTTGGCCGGTTCTATGCCAGGACCACACAGGCATGCTCACTATATATTAGTGCAGGTGGGGTTACCACTTAATTGTTACTCAAAATATCTATATTTACACTTATCACCCTTCTGACCACAGAGTCTCATCATTAAAACAAATAATTAGATCAGTTTTCAAATCCAGTTATTGAAATACTGTTAATATTTATTACAGGATATGTTAATAGCATCCCTCGAAAAGGAGCTTAGTAACTATGACGAGTTGGTAACGTCTGTAGAAGCAGAACGAGCCCGCAAGAAACTAGAGGAGCCCGAGAAACAGAGTAGTGACGAGAAGGAGAACCAGGAGAAGGAGAAAGAGGAAACTGGTAAGCAATCACATCCAATAAAAACTAACATCTTCTTTATGATAAAGAGGAAAGATTTAATCTATTAAGATAAACTTAAAAAAATGATTAAATATTTTTAAAAAATCTTTCTTCTATAGGAAGCTACATTATCGTTATTATATAGGCTGTATTTTATTTAAAAAAAAAACTTGCGAAGGTAGTACTTAATCATTTAAAATTAAGCTTAGATTTATGTCCTCAGGAATGGCAACGCATGGGGGATATCATGGGTGAAACAGTATACTCTGTTATGTCCATGATACTGCTCATGTCTATAGGCGACGGTTACCACTTTCCATCAGGTTGGCTGTCAGCTTGTTTGCCATTCTAAGTTGTATAAAAAAAAATATGTTCAAAAAGAATGATTTTTTAATCAATTATATCATTGTATATTGTTTGTATATGTATAAATATATATGTATGTGTATATTATTTATTCTGAATAAAGCTTAATACATTGATAGCTGTTATCATTACCTGTCCCGATAATAAAGTACCGCATTCGTGATTCACTGATCATCCCAAAAGTTGACTGGTAGAGAATGCCATATAGCATTAAGTCCACCTTTTGCACCATATTTTCTTTTGGTCAATAATAAGTAAATAAATAGAAAAACATATTACAATCTAATATTCGGAACCCAACTTGTCATTGCAGTCTGAATGTATTGAAATGACGTGTCCGTTTACAATGGACCCCACAGAGGCATCTGGCAGCAGCTCGTGGTCCTCGTCGTCGGAGGAGGAGGCGGTGTACCGGCTGCGGGCGCGGCGCCAGCTGCCCGTCAGCTACCGCGCGCAGGAGTACGACCGGCTCATCAGCTCCGCCATCAAGGTACCTTGCACCACCACCACCACCACCACCACCACCACCACCACCACCACCACCACCACCACCACCATACAACCACCACAACTACCATCACCACCACCACCACCACCATCACCACCACAACCACGACCACCATCACAACCACCACCACCACCACCACACCATATGACACCACACCACGTCACACCACACCACACCACGCCACACCACACCACGCCACACCACATCACACCACACCACACACACCACACACCACGTCACACCACATCCACACCACACCACACCTACTTGTCTCATACACTTCCAACATATGTATACTAACATGACAAAACCAAAAACAAACTGATGCACAGACAGTGGGATGGGTGATGTACATCAACGCCAAAGGATTGTGGTCCAACGACTACCGGAAAACCTATGAACAAAAGAATTAGGAACTCCACTAAGAAATAAATAGAACTGAGAGGAAATGAACTATAAACGGAATGAAAGAATGGATGGAAAGGAAGGAAACTAAGGAAACTAGCTGAATAATTAAAAGATTTAGATGCATAACCTGGAACTTAATATCTGGGAAAAAGCGTGCTCCTTAGGGGGAGCCACAATAAAAAAAAAAAACATATGTTTTCTATTGACCTTATAAACAGGTTTTGTTTTATGCAACTTAGAATGGCAGACAAGCTAACCGCCCACCTGAAGGAAAGAGCTAACTGTCGCTTAAAGACATAAACCATTACTATAAATTTAACAGAGTATTCTGTATCGCCTATGGTACCCCTCATGTGTTACCATTTTTTAAGGTGAAGAAGGTGTTATGTCTCCAAACCCTGTAATTTCAACATGTGTTGAATAGTCACAATTGATAATATGTCTATATATAGGAGGAGTATGTGGAACCTACGACGAGCGCGGGCAACCAGGGGCGCGGTAAGGACATATCCACCATCATCGAGGCGGCCGAGGAGGAGAAACTGAAGGCCGAGAGGGAAGCTATCGAGCAGGTATGCTTTAAGCCATTGTCAGCTACTGATTGTGTTTTTTTTTTTATTGTGGCTCCATAGGGGTTCTAATGATTTTACCGATGTTAAAATTGTTGTGTGTAGTGTTTTCTGAAAATAGAATTATTTACATTTTATTTTATTGATTACACAACTTAATTTGAATCTATCGCTATATATAATTTCAGCCGAGAAAAACGGACAGGAAACACAGCTGTTGCTTTTTTCGAATGAAAGTTGAGTGAAAATGTGAATGGGTAAAATGACTATAACTGCTTGTTTGCCACCTCAGTGGTATAAAAAATATTGATAAAACTCATAATTATAAAAAAAAAAAACTACAACCAATCACAGTATTCTTGAACAGACCTGTCCCTATTAGCAGCCCCTGTTCACGAGTATGACGGATGAACCAGGCATTGTTGTGTTCAACCATATTGGATGCACGTGTACTATGTTTTGTTTCCTTAGCTGCCTCCTATGATATCCTGAAGACAAAGTTTTTGTCACCATATTAAAGTCTAATATTAACTGTGCGAGAATGCAAGTGGACTGTATGTACGATAAGTTTTTTAAAAGATCTGAGAATGCGAAAACCGACAAGTTGTTTTAAAAGTACTACTAAACTACCTAGATTCAAACTTAGTTCAATAGACTTACCCTTTGATTAGCGAAAATTCCTTTTACAACATACTCAGATCACTCAGTTCCCTAAAGCATGCTAAAGTTACCTGAGATTACCTCGTAAATGTTATAAGAACTAAGGGTTTCGATCTTGAATCTTCCGACAGACATTTCAATCTTAAATCCTTTTAAATATTTAGGAACGACACGAGAAATTATCTTTTGCGTAGTTCTTTTTATAAAACAAAAATTTTAAATTCAAAAACTACTTGTCTAAAGTCTTACGATTGTGAAATTAAATGTTATACTTATTAAATACTTTATGAGCGACAACGACAAAACTGTTCTGTTTCTGTATTTAAGAGCAGACACCAACAACCTTTTTTTATCTTACTACCTCCAATTGAAAATATTAATTGCCAGAATATTACAAGAATAAAATGTTTTTATGAATTATCGAGAATGTTGCCATGCAATTATTGCGTTTAAAGTGAACATTAACCATAGATAATGTAACAAATGATTAACACAATAGGGTAAACCGATCGAAGTGAAGAAGATGCGTAAGAAGACGCGCCGAAAGCCACGCAAACTGAACTCACTGGAAGTGCCTTCCGAGGATGACGACGAGACCGACGAGGACTTCAAGGACACCGGGTAAAATACATACGACACCCATTGGCCATTGTATTAAAAAAAAAACACGTGTATTCTTGTCACGCACATATCGTCATAGTCGTAGGATACTGACGGATCTTTATATGTAATATTTATCAGATCCGTCTACGGACGAATACTTTCTACGACTATGACGATATATTATGTCTTTGCCCATAGTTGGAAGCTCCAGATCTTAGGGTGGACGTTAGATAATTCTCCAATAAGCGTAGCTCACCTAACACTCTTAATACGTTTAAAATAACACCAAGTACATTTATATAGCATAATAGCATATCCTTAATAATACTACAAATATGACAGTGACATTGTTTGTTTGTTACCATATAGCCTATGAAATTTGTTAATTCATTTATTACATCCACTGGGTGAGTCTTAGTCTTCCAATACGCTCACCCAGGAAAGCATGAGTACAATAACATATAAAAAGGAATATTACACAAAAATAACAAAAATAATATAAAAAGATTTAATTTAAACAAAAAACGTCTGAACACAAATACTCTGTGGTCACTCGACGAAACTCCAGCAAGTTGGAGGCAAATACATCCAATTGCGGATACTGGCTCAAAATATCATCGAGTAATTTCAAAAGAGATAGCCTGCTTAGCGAATTTATATTAGTAATGGAACATCGAATAAGTGCCGTCGACGTGCTCGCATGTAGTTACTGGACGCTCCTATTGATTCATGATTGATATATGTATACACATTCTATATGAGATGGAGAAAAATATGGGTTACCTTTTATCCTGTCCACTTAAAGTGATAAATGTGTAAACCCCAACAATCTACAGTATACCAGAGGGAGACTTTGTACAAAAGTCGATTGCTTGAGTACCTCTGTCCCATTCGTGTTTCTACCTTGTTTCGGTTTGAAGGGTGGGATATGGCGTGAATTTACAGGGTACAGAGGAATAACACCTGAGTCCTCAGGAACGGCAACGTATGGGGGGTATCATGGGGGCGAAACAGTATGTCCATGGTACTGCTCATGTCTATAGGCGACGGTTACCGCTTTCCATCAGGTGGGCCGTCAGCTTGTTTGCCATTCTAAGTTGCATAAAAAAAATACTGACGAAGCTGGGAAAGTCGTAGTTTTTCACCTGACCAGTTATTTCTCTTAGCTCTGTTTTCGTAATATATCTCGTCTCGTTCGTTCGTTCGTACTCATATTTATAGGCGACGGTTACCACTTTGCATCAGGTGGGCCGTCAGCTTGTTTGCCATTCTAAGTTGTATAAAAAAAAAGTATCAGTAAAAAGTTATAATCGTTAATCGTTACAGTATGGAATCGTCATCAGAAGACATATCGTCATCCGCTGAGCGGGACAGCTCGAGTGACTCGGGATCGTCGGACTCGTTGCCTATTAGGCGAACAGGCAGAACTGATAAAAAAGGTAGCATTTTACATGTACGCATGTGGGGTATCATGGGCGAAACAGTATACTGCTGCTGGACATAGCTTCCCCAATAAGGGGTGGTTTTGCCAGTAGTTGCCACCGCAGATTAGTTTTTGGTAATGTTTTAACAAAACCATCTCTACACTATAAGCAAACCTTAATTGTCTTTAAGTTAATTCAGGCAAATGTTTATTCTATGCTAACATTCTATATTGGTATTGCATTTGAAAAAACTATATCTTGCAAATTTTTTTAGAATCCCATCACTAGCAATATACTAAACCAGGTTTTTAATATTCGCGGTTCACACAGAAAAAATCATGGTTATTTTAACTGATGAATTCAAAAAAAGCAGTAACTGGCTTTTTCATTCTCATCTATCACCCTTCACTGGTGCTCCGCCAAATCCCGTTAAGAAAATCGATTTTAAATTAAAAAAAAAAAAAAAAACTATTGCACTGTTTTGTCACTTTTATTGAATTTGGAAATTTAGAAAAAAAGACAAAATAGTTGAATTGCTAAAATAGGTTTATAATAAGTTTAAATTCTTTTTTTTTTTTATAAATAATTGGGTTAATATATAAATTCCCAGTAATGTTAACATATAATATCAGCGACTACAAAGAAAACTGTGAGAGAACTTCCGAATTCTCAACGGTATTAAGGATCGAGGAGTTTGCTTACTTGTGCTAAAAATTCCGCTCTACTAACGCCCAGCCGTCTGTTGCAGAGCGTCCAAAAATGACGGAATCTTCACCCGAGGTGAAGAAGAAGAAGAAGGGCGTCTTTGATGACAGCTCGAGCGAGTCTGGTGGGACGAAAGAGTGGTCCAACAAGCCCAGCAAGCCCAAGTTAGTTTCATTTTAATTATTAGTTGCATCTCGCGGCTTTAGCTTCATGAATCTGCATATAATTTATGATAACCTTAGATTATATAGAGAGAGTGTCTCCATACAGATAGAGAAATGCGGGTCAACTTTTTCATACAATTTTGCGTAATAAATAGTTATGATTCCTTAATAACTTCTATATTTATTTTGTCTTATAATTTCTGCATCTTTTTAATGCGTAAACACTAATTTTATTTATTAAATAATACGTCAAGATACATTGTGTGTGTAAGTATATAGGATACTGGTAAAAAAAAAACGAGTCAATTAATTTGACAATTAGCTGACAAAAAGTTGACCCGTTTTTGAGGCTCGATGCTCTATGTATATAATCTACCATAAGTGTGTAGTACAGGCCACATATATTATCTATAGCTATATATTATTATTTACTAAATTCGAAATTGACACGCATATCTATTGTCTCTTTTTGGCTTGCCTTCACGGCCCTAGTCTTCTAAGTTCCTTTGACTATTATACATATATTTCCAATTTCCATTCCTGGTTTCCTTCGTCGTCCACACTAGCATGTAGGATTTATTGCGAGACTTTATTTTATTTTATTTTATTTATTAGGCGCACATAACAGAACTTTACAAACTTAAATTATAACATGCAAGTACATTAATGTATTGATCAGGTAAACTTGCCATAACATGTGCACACAGCGTGTTCCAATAATAAATGCGACTATAACGAAGCCATTCGGTTGCAACTATTAGTGAAAGAAATTAAACATAAAAAGAAACATAAACATAAATAAAAAGAAAAAGATACTGTTCATATCTATAGGCGACGGTTACAATTTTGCATCCGGTAGGCCGTTCGATTGGTACATAAAAAAAAATATTTGAAGCTTTATTGTTATTGGCATTAATAATAAATGTTTTTGGAAAACTCTTTTTTTAACGAGAAGTAAGTATACTGTCCGCCTGACGGTAAACGGTAATGACAGTCTGCAAAAAATTTGCACAATCAATCTTTGAAGATTTTTTTCTAGTCTAGTCCCAGCACCTGGTAATTTAAATAATGAAAATAGTAATTGAAATGTTTCATGATATCCTTGGAGCATTATTAAACATAGGTTATTTTTTATTTTATTATAATAAAAAAAAAATACTGTTTTTATTTGTCCATGGCTTTTATTTTCATTAATAGTAATAGTAATTAGAAAAAATTTTTAATAGTAGTTTTTCTTTTTACTTACTTAATATTTTTTGTCTGCTTATTTTTTATTGTTGATGTGTCTTTTAAAAAAATAAATAACTAATAGAAAAAATTTAATAGTACGTACCTAATATTTTTTCCTTATTTTTTTTTATCAAATTCGAAAAAATGTAAACTAAAACAGTAATATATAAAATTCTTTATGAACATAATATATATAATAATTTTTTTTATCTTATTTTAATTGTACTAAACTTAAGTCTTCGTGTTATAAGAATTTAATAAAAAAAAATCACTTCTTTACAGTTCATAATTTACGCGTCTATCGTAAGATAAATTTTTCAGAAGGTTTAAAATTGGAACGAATTCTTGACAAAAATAATTTGTTTTTGTAGTCTTCTCTCATCATAGACTTTTTTTTTTCATTTATTGTGACTTTGGCGAAAGCCATCAGCCAAAAAGTAACAATTACAAGGTAACAATATAAAATTACAAGATAAATTACAAAAATTATTATAGTTATAAATTAATTATAATATATTAAGAAAGTAAGTTAAGTAGAAAAGTATAAGTTACAATTACATTTTAAATTTCACCAATTGTTTTTAATTTAATTATATTAAATAAAAAATTTCTTGGTACAAAATGGTATGTTTTAGTAGATCCTGCACTGAAGTAGGAATATTTTGACATTTTAATAAATCTTGACATTGACAAATAAAAAGTAAACGTTGAAGTGAGAATTCATCATAGACTATAGAAACAAAAACAAATCTAGTTCTTTCTTTTCTTAAAAAAAGTTAAAAATCAAATCATATCTGACAGATCTAAAAACAAAAATCTAAAATTAAAAAAAGATAAAAAGCATTCAATTTCACCAATTTTTATAAGATACTATAAAGGAACATACACTGTGTAAGTAAAGCAGTTATAACGATATAACTAATTTTACATTTAAATTGAAAATATTGGTAAATGTCTTAAATTTGGAATACATATGTTAGCTTTTTTCTAGTTATTGAAAATACACTCGATTGTTTTTTTTTTTTATTAGTAATTGTAATTCGATAAATTACGAAAACCGCAACGCCTAATGCGTGCTCGTTTTCAGATCTAAAAGAAAATAATACGATATAGTTGCGCGACTTATGTCATTGGCAGTCATTTGTTCATTGGAACGTTTATATTTGAAACTATGATATGCGTCTACGTTATGAAATGGCGTGGATCGTGAAAAAAAAAATACACAAAATTAAAAAGTAAAAAAATGGCGGCAAAGTTAATTGTCATAGATTAAGGATTTTTTTTTCTATGTTTGTTTATTTCTTTTTTTAAATTTAGACATTCCAGACCGAAGTCGCGGCCGCCAAAGAAGCGGGACAAATCAAAGCGGAGCCGCAAGCGCGGCGGCGGGCTGACGCAGTACGACGCGGAGGGGAACGTGATCCGCGCGCGCGTGACGTACGGCGGACTCAGCGACGACGGGCCCAACGACTGGTCGCCCAAGCACCGCACGCGCCAGCGCAAGATCAACTACACGGAGATGCCCAACACAGAGTCCGAAGACGTTAGTATTTAGTTTCATTTTACACTTTCGCCTTGTTTATCTATTTACTTGCTTTTTATTTTATCGTCTTTGTATTGTATTGTAAAATGTTTATTGTACATAATTTATACTGAATACATTAAATGATTTAATATACAATGGCGGATTTAGCCCATAAAGGGATCTCTTATAGTCAACCTAGTCGTCATTGTCAAGTCCCGATTGTGTATTTAAAATATGTGAGTACTTATCTGTTTTTTTTTATTGCGTTAGTGGCGCGAAAGTTTTATAACCTCAAAATAAATAATGGTTTATGATTTCTTTGAATTTTTTATGACGCAATTATTTCATTAATTCCGAATCGATTTCTATACTTATTTTGTAATTGATAAGGTTTACTCTCGTGTTAATTCAATTTTAATTTTGTAATGACTAAAGTTAGTGTATTTTTGCAGATTAAAACTGCTTGTTGCGAAGTAAAATGTGTACACGCAATGTTTGCTATGTAAGATATCTACAGAGCATTATCGTTTATTGGTTTACCAAGTTGTTTGTTTTTCTTTTTAACCGACTTCAAAAAAAGGAGGTTTCTCAATTCGATCGCATATATACTTATTTTGTGAAACAACATATACCTGTCGACCGTTTACTATCAAACGGGCTTTATGTTTGTTTGCCACTTTGGTGGTATAAAAAAAGATTGTAAAACTTTTTTTAATAGTGTACAGATTAAAAAACATAATGTGTCATGAAAGTATATACAGTATATCAAATTTTTCATACAAATAAAAAAAATATATATTTCTAAATATAGATGTAAATATTTATCGGACACAGGAGATGCACAAATCGAGCGGCAAGCACATGCCGGACAGCTCGGACGAGTTCAAGCTGGAGGAGTCGGAGCTGAGCTCGGACTCGGGCTCGGAGCGCGGCGGCAGTAGTACTGCTGCTGCCGGCGCCAGCGGTACTGTTGCTGCCACCGGCGTCGACGGCGATCGGCAGCGGGCGCTCACCGACCTCATCAAGACGGCCGTGGTGCCGCTCGAGAAGCTGCCCGAGGACGTCACCAAGGCCAAGACCGAGGAGCTGCAGGCGCACCTCAGTATGTTGTCACTATTTTATTGCACTACTATAAACATGTATTATGTCTGAGTCCTCAGGAATGGCAATGCATGGGGATACCCCCCATGGGCGAAACAGTATACTCTGTAATGTCCATGCTACTGCTCATGTCTATAGGTGACGGTTGCCACTTTCCATCAGGTAGGCCGTCAGCTTGTTTGCCATTCTAAGTTGTATAAATTTTTATTATATCTCGTCAAAATGGCTACACATCAATCTATCGTGGAATACTCTCGTTTGGCTGTGAGTAGAAATAAATGGAGACATATTGCGAGGACCTCAATCGCGTAGAAGAGCTTCATCGACGATCCACTATAATAATGAAAACCACGATTACTTTGTTGAGTGTACGACTAATGAGAGAGATATTTGTATTATAGATATTTTTTGATAATTTTCTTCATTTATTTTGGAAAGAATTTGACGTGAAAATAGATTTTCTAAGTGAATTGGTATTTTTAAATTATTGAAAAAAATTTTTTGTTTAATTCTGTTACCATTAATACATGTGTGACTAATATTTGAGTATTGATTATTGTTATTATTATTAGAATTTACATACTATTTAAAATATGCAGAATATTTTAACAATATTGTTTGTTGAGAGCTGTGCCTGTGGAGCCTGTAGTACGAGTCACCATTTGTTATATTTTTTATTGGATGAAAATGGAATGGTAATCCCGCCTGCGCTAACGGGATACGCTGGCGGGGCACCAGTGAAGGGTGATAGATGAGAATGAAAACAGGCCAGTTAGCACATCATGATGAATTCATCAGGAATTAACCATGATGGTTTCCAGGGGGAACCGCGAGGATGTGGACCTAGTTGGGTATTGCCGATTATATTGCTACTAATGGGATTCTCAGTCTCCATTACTAACAATCCCTTCCTCTCTCCCATTTGTAATATGAGTAAGGGTTATAATTGTAAGTGTGTGTTGGTACTGTGGAATTGATGCGTGAGTGTTGCGCGCGTGCAGACGCGCAGCAGGAGGCGGCGGCGGCGGCGGCGGCGGCGGCGGGGCGGGCGGCGGGCGCGGCGCGTGGTCGCGGCGGGCGCGGGCGCGGCGTGCGGGGTGCGCGGGGCGGACGCGGTCGTCCCGCCGCGGCGGGGACGGCGGGGACGGCCGGGCCCGCCGCGCCGCCGCCCGCCGCCGACGACGCGCTCGCCAAGCTCGTCGGCGTCAAGATCAAAGGTACGCGCACACTAGCACACATACATACACACGCGAACGGACACGCACTCACACATAAACACACACACACACGACCACATACAGGACACACAAACGATACTCAAGTCTGATAAATTGGTGTATAACACACATTTTACTCCAACTACAATGAAAACTGTATGAAACTGCATTGTACATTCCACAGCCACTATACCAGTACGTAATTTATACAAGAAATATCCTATTAACTGTAATAAATTTTTATATTCTTTACTGAATTTGAACAATACATATAACGATTAGTTTAACAACTTGTCAGCAAGGGAGGACTTATCTCTGAAAGAGATCTCTTGCAGCCAACCAATATTATTCATCTGCATAAACTAACATTTATCAACTTAAACTGAAGCTAAAAATCTGTCTTTTAACAACCAAACAGATAAAACCAAACAAAACAAAAATTTCCACCGTTATATCATAAATATACCGTTTACATACACACAAAACATTTTGAATTATCCTTATCAAGAAGTAAAAACCATACCCGACTTATACCTTTCAAACAACATACAAATTAAACCAATTTAAAACGAATGTAAGTATAAGCCATTTGCAAACCCACAGATTCCATCTTAAACCACATCATCACTTTCCATCAAATAAAACTAATTACGGAATCTTCAAACAATAAAATGACCTTACATATATCAATAAAATAAAATTTAAAATAAACAAAACTTTTTTTTTTTTATAAACTATCAAAATTTACAATTTCCACTATAACATAATGATAAGCACATTACAAGGTTTTATTATCATTAACACTTTGTTGAGCAGTGACGAGTTTTTGTCTTTTCATATCCGAACATTGCTAACGAGTGGCGAGTAAACCCGTCATTGCACTAGCGTGTACGTAGGTACGTCCTCCTACCACGACGGGCAACACACAGTTTGGATTACAAAGCGTTCATGACAAAAAAAAAATACTTTTCCTTGTATTTAGGTTTTTATCACAGTTTTAGTTTAACTCCAAAGATTTGAATCATGACGGAATTCCCAGTTAGCAAAGTGTTAACCCTTCTTTGCATAATGGTGGAAATTTCCATCGTAACATTGAATGCCCAAAAATTATATAAAAGAACAAGTTCAGTTTAGGATTGCAAAAAATTATATTTAACCAATTTTTAATAAAATAATTTATTTTTTTAAAATTTTGAATTTATTTTTGATTTATTTCACCAATAAAAAAAATCATGCAAAGAAAGGTTAATGCAGCGTAGGATGATCCCCCCCCCCCCCCCAGATGTAATGAAGACCTCAAATGCATTGCAGGTAGTCAGTGGATGCAGGTGGCTCAGGACCGTTCCTTATGACAGTCTAATGGCTACCCCATTATGCTTATGTCCAGCAGTTGACAGATGATGACTGAAATGATGATGACGATGAAAGTGTTAACAAATCAAACTCTCCTTTCCTTATAATGAACCCTCCATCTGTTTGATTTCTAATTATCATATCCACTTTCAGATCTAAGAACGGATGGCACCGTACTAAGACCTAATCAAGTGAGTATTGACTTTACATTTTTTAATTAAAATACAGTGAATGTTCTATATAAGCAACATTCTTTATATTTGTTCTATTCGGCTTAATTAGTAAAAGAAATAAGTAAAAATATTTTCTCAAACATGCTTGGAAATGTGAGCATTATTTTGACAATCTTCTTCGAGATAAATCAAAATTGCCATACTGGCCAGATATATGCGGGCAGCGGCCGGCAAAAGTTGTATGAAAATCCATATCTGTGTTAGAAAGCTGTTTAATGAAAAAAAAAACAAAGCATTATGGCGCGTGAAAAATTATTATTGTTCGTTAGTCATCATTGAACTTAAAAAGTAAAATTGTGTTTTTGATTTCCGCGCATTGTTTGAGAAAAGTACTATACAAGCCTTGGCCACAACTAGGCATTGATGGACTCACGTATGTGTGTCTCGGCTACGCCTCGGCCCACATTTGCACGTTCGTCCATCAATGCCTCAGTTGCTGGCCGCTACAGTAATGTACTATTTTCAGACGGTAAGTATTTTTATACTCTTTTTTTTTTCTTATAAGTAACTTTTCCTAATAAGAATTTTTGTTTATTGAAATTGGTTCAAATAAGTTGCTTATAGAGTGTTCACTGTAGTAACATATTTATATAATCAAGTACCTGGTCTATTGAAAAGACAAGATTCAACAAGATTTATTATAAAATTTTTACATTTAATAAATTTAATATACCGACACCATCTACTATTTGATATAAAGGATGTAAGGAGCAGGTTGGCAAAAACTGAAACGTGAATTCAAACCATTGTTCTGAACTGAAAACCAGTGAAAATTTATTTGGGAATATTTCAAATTTTTTCCTATTTTTTTTTTTTGCCACTTATGTAATCTATGATATGTCATAATATAAAGAAATAATAATATTTTATAGCGAAATACTATGTCGAAAAACGTCAATGTATTACACGTATTAAAATTCTACGAATCGGCTGTATAATGGAATAGTAACCCCACCCGCGCTATCGGTATACACCGGCGGGGCACCAGTGAAGGATGATAGGTGAGAATGAAGTAGGTCAGTTAGCCCATCGTGACGAATTCAACAAGAATTGTTCACGATTGTTTCCAGGGGGAACCACGTGGAGGTCGACCTAATAAGGCATATTGCTAGCAATGGGGCTGTCAAACTCCACTGCTAACAATCCTTTTCCCCCCAAATCAGCTGTGTAATGTCGTGTGGATCGTATAATTTCAAATATATTGCGCGGCGTCAAAACTAAGAAACGTTAACTATATGGCTGTGGTGCATTTCCGATGGGAAATTAATCTGCCATCGGATTTAAACCATTCATCTGAATCAGCTGTTTAGTCTAACCAGTTCCTTCCACCCTGTATATTCTATGCTTTTGTCGTTATTACTTAATTAGATGAATTATAAATGTATTGACAATTTCAACGATAATCATTAGGCGGAGCGTGAAAGAAAACGACAAGAACGCGAAGCGAAACAAGCGGAGAAGGAAGCCCGCAAGCTCGAGCGGCTCCAGAAGAAAGAAGAGAAGGAGAAGTTAAAAGAACAGAAAGCGAAGGAACGGGAGGAGAAGAAGTTAGCGAAACTAGCGCTACAAGAGAGTAAGAGAATGAAGAAAGAGAAGCCGGAGTATCCGATATCGGGTCCGGTGGGACCGGTGGGCCCGGTGGGCTACGGGGTGCCGATACGGGCGTCCGGCGCCGACGTACAGAGGATGACCATGTACGGGGCGCCGCCGCCGCCGCGGCTGCCCGCCGACTACCCGGACCAGAGGTTCCCGGCGCAGCCCCGGCTACAGGTAACTCATGACTCATACACGTCAAGGATATATCGTCAAACGATAAACTAATAACATATTTTTTTTCAATGGGTGATGATGGAATAGTAACCCCGCCTGCGCTAACGATATACACTGGCGGAGCACATCGTGATGAAAAAAAACACTTGGAATTCAGCACGATGGTTTCCAGGGGGGACCACGTGGAGGTCGACCTGGTTGGGTATATTGCTAGCAATGGGGCCCTTAGTCTTCATTATTAACAATCCTACTCCCCCCCCCCCCCACTAATATTGAGGAAAGATTTTATTTTTTGTTCGTAATGATAAAAAAAGTTTAAAAAAATACATAAACGATTTAAAAAAAATATTTCATTTTTATAAAGCTACATTATTAGCGAGTACTTTGAGCTGTTTTTTTTTTAATCTTGTGCAGTCAAGTGAGTTCGCTAATACTTCCTAATGAGAGTTTCGTTTCATATATCGTGAACGTAGTATTAGTATTAGAAATAGGGGATTTTTATGAGGAAAACACGCTTGTTTGATTCTTATTATTAATTGACTTCAAAAAGAAGCAGGTTCTCGATTCTGAATACATTGTGTTTGAATTACTTTAGAATGTCGAGGCTTTTCGACGCCGAAGAAACGTGCTTTTGTTTTGTTTTAGAAATCTGAACGGTGATCAAAAAGAAGCTTCTGCGTTCTGGGCGGATTTGGCTGTACTAGCCACGACTCATATGCACAACGGCCCAAATGAGAGGCTAAGCGCGGAAAACAGAGTCTTTCTCACATTTACATGACTCAGTCCCATTCAACAATGGGAATACGAGTTATTTTAACGACCGAGTAACTATCGTTGTTACTGCTGTAGCGGTTCGTTATAGGATTTAACCTTTCTTTGCATGATTTTTTTTTTTATTGGTGAAATAAATCAAGGTGATATAATTCATATTCAAAATTAAAGGAAAAATGGTTAAAAAAATAAATTTGACACCTATGTTTTTTTTTTTTTGCAATGGACATTAAAAAGGTATCCAGACACGATCAATTTAAAGTGAACTTGTTTTTTTAAATAATTTTTGGGCATTCAATGTTATAATGGGTTTTTTTTTATTTTGCAAGTTTTTTTTATATGATGGTACTATGGATGGATGGATATATGGAGGGATGGATGGTCTATATCACTGGTTGGTTGATTAGAATTATTTTGTTTAATTCCACTACTATAAGTAACTGTCTATATAAGCCATTAACACCGACCACCATTCCGTCCACGCATATTAACAAATAAATTTCCGTAGGTGCGTGCCGAGCTGCGAGGCGTACTGGCGCCGGACCGCCGTCCGCCTGCCGCAGCGCTCAGGGACGGTACGTTATTTATTCATTTATATAAAAACTTCTGTAATAAATACTGATTTGATATGATATATTTGTGGTCATGATTTGTTATGAATATGAATAGTGAAGTTGGATTTAGTATAAGAGTTATTACAAAAAAATAATGACATTAATATATTTATTAGTTTGGTGGCAAAAAAATTATTTCTTTGACGTTTATATATTGTTTTATACATCCATCTCAGAATTTTTTTTTTTTTCATATAAGTTATAGTACAGTGAGCAATATTTAAAATATTACTAATTGAATAATATTTTTTACTTTTTTTTTTTAATTTAGGTACACTGTCAGTAGCCGGTTCCCCTCAACCGTTCAAGCCTATCACCGAGGAGCCGAGTATTATCACCAGAATGCCGCATATGATCAATCAGCAATACAGGTAGTGACCACGACGCATCCATAATTATTTACTTGCTGCTCTAAACGGGGCAGTGCCGTTTTAAATAAGTCTCCGTTTCCAGGGGTCCGATGATGTACCCGGGCGGCAACTCGGCGTACGGCCCCCGCGGGCAGAACGTGGGCATGTACCCGCTGCACCCGGGCATGGGCCCGGCCGCCGGCCGCCAGTACCCGCCGCAGTACTACCCCGCCCTCCGCGCGCCGCCCTACCCGCTGCGGGCCGCCGCCGCGCACGCGCACGCCTTCCCCGCGCCGCCCCCGCACCCGCACGGCTCGCCCGGCCCCGGGCCCGGCCCCGGCCCCGGCCCCGGCCCGCTGGCGGCCCTGCGCGGCCCCGTGCCCGTGCCCGTGCCCGTGTCGCCGGCCGCCACGCCGCCCGCGCCCACGCCGCCCGCCGGGGCCCCCGAGCCGCCCATCAAGATCAAGGCCGAGGTGAAGACCGAGCCCGAGTACCGGACGCCGCCCGCGTCGCCGCGCCCGCCGTCGCCGCGCGACGAGCTGCCGCGCAACCACCCCAAGATCAAGCACACCGAGAACAAGGACCGGCGGCCGCGGTACCCGCTCGGCCCGTACGCGCCGCAGTACGCCTCGTACGGGCCGTACGCGCCCGACCTGGGCCTGCAGCGGCCGCCGTACCAGCCGCCGCCGCCGCGGCCGCCGCCGTGCCCGCCGTACGCGGAGGCGCGGCCGGCGGCCGAGCGGCCGGACGGGCCGCGGCCGGCCACAGCGCCCGACCACAGTATTATCAAGCGCGAGGCGGGCGAGGAGGGCGGCGTGTTCGGCGGCCTCGTCAGCTACTTCTCGAGCCAGCACGCGGACGACATGGACGCGTAGGCCGGCCCGCGCCTCGCCCGGGGTTGCTACTAGCGAAATGTATAGGAAAGTTTTATTGCCAGTAAAAAAACTGAAAGTGTACCGTTTCATCCTTACTACTCTCTTTTCTATTTTCTTTAGAATAGCAGTTTTTTTTTTATAATTCCTACATGGAATTGAGAGAAAAGGTCACATAGGATATATTGTTCAATGGAATTTAAAGCGATCTTTTGATATTGGTGATTATGCTTCTCTCAAACATTGGCGGCTTCCGGGCACCACCAAAACATGAACAAGGCTGCTACTTTTCTAACATATAAAAACAGAAATTTCTTCCTTGTTTAATACAAAATAGAGTAGACATATGCATATATAATTAGCAAAATGCATCACCATTGTTTCTGTGACGATTTATAATAGAAAATAATGGTTTTTCATTAATCTTATAAATTTATTCTTATTCAATACTAAGCTTAGTTGACTAAAAACTATTGTTGCTCCTAGTAATCTCGACGGCTACGTCTTCAGTTTTTGTACTTGTAGTCAAACGGGTGAAAGTAATCCTACTATTCCTACCATAATGGCAATATTTAGTAGTAATTCCGAGGGACGCTCGCCGCGACCTCTGCCGGAACACTTGTATATAAGATACGATAGATAATTTTATTTATACGACGGCGAGTACACGCCCCGCGTAGTTTGTACCCTATGTATGATATTATAATAACAAATTTAGAGATGTAACGAAAATGAAATGAGTCTTTTTGGTCTCGAATAAACGATGTATTATTATTTTTGGTTTTGTTTAAGTGAGATTTATTTATATATACATACAAATGATAAGTACTTACTGTATACTCTAAATATGAATTTTATTAAAAGATTAATAAAATATGATTTTGCAGAATAAATGTTTTCTTCTAAAACTTGGTCTCGTTTAATTTGACACAGAAATGAAACGCTTATTAAAACACATTGATTTATTTGCGAGGTCTCCCGGCGACCTTCTTGCTGCCAGCCGGCTGTTTGTTCTTCCCACCGAACGATAATGGTTGCTCTGTGAAACAAAAATAGTATTTTTTTCATTAAATTTAACAAATCTTAGACAGATTTATCTGATAATTATCGTAAAGAATGTAAACTATTATTTGTATGTTTGTTGTTTGTTCATGTAACCGCTTACTGCAGTAATATAATAAAAACAGACTATAGAACAAAAATCTAAAATAAATAAATAAAAAAAAAGTATTTGTTATAGTTAATATCAATATAATATATAATGCAAGTTTGAATACGTTAATCTCTGGAACTACCAGTCAGATATGAAAAAATATTTTTGCATTTGATAGCTCATTTTCGAGGAAGGTATTCTACCACGGGCGAAATGTCAATAGGAAAGTTGCCGATTGAGTCGAGCGCTACAGTATAGGAACTGCTATAAAGAATTGGTTGAAAGGTTAATCAACGGGGGTTATAAATATAAAACTGCCACTCACCAGGTGGCGGTATCTTCAGCGATATGTCGTAGGTCTTGCACTTGGGCCTCTTGGCGGCCGGCTCCATCTTCTCGGGGGTTTCGGTCGGCGTCACCGTCTCCTGCGTGGCCGCCCAACCGTCCTGCGCGCGATACGTGCAATATGTATTACACAAACCAATATATATACTATAACGTACCACATACTGACAGACTGGCAACTCACAAAAACGAGACAAATGATTACACTAATGTGCGTTTTTGTAAAATATGGAATTGAAATTGTAACCTTGGTTTAAAATCACATATTTCTTATAATTCTTATACGCATGGGAGGTATCATCGGCGAAACAGTACACTCTGTTATAACCATGGTACTGCTCATGTCTATAGGCGACGGTTACCACTTTCCATCAGGTGGGCCGTCAGCTTATTTACGATTCTAAGTTGTATAAAAAAAAGGTGGACACACCAATATATGAAAAATTAACATGTCATTGCTAATTTGTTTGTGTAAAAGTAACAACTGCCACTTATAGGCATAATAATGTTGTTCGCATTACGCATATTACAGTAAATGGAACCATAATTCTAGTTTTTGGAATTTTATTCGAGCAATAATAAATAGCTGAGACGTATGAAGCGCTTTGTTTTTAGTGATAAGTCACTGTATGAAGTGCTTTGTTTTTAGTGATAAGTCACTATATGAAGCGCTTTGTTTTTAGTGATAAGTCACTATATGAAGCGCTTTGTTTTTAGTGATAAGTCACTGTATGAAGTGCTTTGTTTTTAGTGATAAGTCACTATATGAAGCGCTTTGTTTTTAGTGATAAGTCACTATATGAAGTGCTTTGTATTTAGCGATAAATCACAAAAAATCTGTGAAGAAAAATGCACAGGATGGTTGGCGTTACTTTCTCGTACTATCTTATATGAGTCTTGCAAAAGTATCTATGGAGTATAAAATTCGTTAATTACCTCAGGATCCTCGATTTCGGGCGCAATCGGCAGGAAGGACAGTACATTCTCGTCTTCGCCCTCTTCGTCGGAGCTGCAAAACGCTGCCACCGCTTCACACGTGGTCACGTCCACCTGAGAACAACTCATTCACTTTAGTGCATTTAAGATTATTTTCCAGGGGTTTGTATCTTAAAGAAGGCAAATCCTTACTAATATTATAAATGTGAAAGTGAGTTTGTATGTTATTGTGTAACACCTTAATGGTTAACCCGCTAACTATGAATTTTGGTGTACATGTACTATATATATAAGAATACAATTTTTTAACAATATTCCAGAAAATATAAATATTAAGACACTAGGACAATTTAAGATTGCATTGTAAAAATTGCTTTTGGACAAGTGTTATTATTTAATTAAGAACTTGATATTCTAGAAAAAAAAAAAAAAATCATCAGCATATTCATAATATGATACTTTTTCATTAGAATTTGAAAAAAATACTATAAATACAAAAATTTTGCACGTTATTGTTTTAGCAAAACACACATGTTCATAACATATTATTACTAGCAGTTGTATATCGTCTTTTTAAGAAAATAAATTATTATTATATATGGGATGGTGAAGGCTATTTTTATCCAGGTCACGCGGACGAAGTCGCGAGGACAAAGCTAGCTATGTATATTTGCGCAGAGTTAACAACTACGCTCGCATTTTGGGGTGAGCACTAGACAACTCTCGCGTGATCACCCTTCCCACTGAGTGATATCCGGCTCGAAGGACGAAATTTGTATTGAACTTAGTCTTAATACATGGATTTAAATATTTAAATTACCAAAGATATATGGAAACAGAATTTTTAATTGTAGTAAAATATACAATAAAAAGTTTTTGTCAGTAATAAATTTTATTGGAGTTTCCAACAGTGCCTGTATCGGTGAGCACGACTCACCTCGACCTCCTCGTCGTGGTGGCTGTCGGCGGCGAGGTCCACGGAGCGGTCCTCGTCCTCCACGTCGAACTCGCTCTCGCGCTCCTCGTACTCCACGTTCTCATCCAGCTCCTTGAAGTCGGGCGCGAACGCTGACCAGTTCTCCACCTGGTTTTGGGCCCATATGGACACCACCCCTGCGGAAATATATATATAGTAAATCGAAACCCTAGTAACCTTTTTAGGGAGTGTTCTAGCAGAAAACCGGTTATTTTCAAAAGAACGTGAGTCCAAAATAAGCAAAAAAGTTCAAACGTCTCTTGCTAACTTGACAGCTGGATGCAGCTTGTCAATATGGCATCGCCAAAACAATTAACGCCCGCTAGTCCTACAAGATAACTAATACACCTATTTACAGTTTTTTGTAAATACCTATAAATAGAAAATAGACACTAATACAAATATTGTAAAAATATAAGAATTGTGGAATAGACCCCGACTATTCTGTATAAAAATGGAAGACAGGTTCTTGAGTGGTGACCCCGTAAGGGCAAACGCATTGTAGGACAATCCCCCACTAGATGAAGTAACAACCTCAAATGCATTGCCAGTGGAGGCATGTGACTCAGGATCGTTCTTTATGGCAGTCTATGGGAGGAGGCCTATGTTCAGCAGTGGACAGATAACGGCTGAGATGGTGGTGATTTTGTATAAAAATAGCATGGGTCCTGGTAACCTCAATGAAGATTATTATCATATAGAAGTTATTATTAGCAAAGGTAAGTAAACATTTAGGGGGAAAGAGATTGTTAGTAATGGAGTCAAAAAGCTAAAATTACTAGCAATATACCCTGTCAGATCGATCTCCATGTGGTTCCTATGGAATCCCATGGTGGTACTTATAGGTAGCAACTGTTACTTTTTATCAAGGGACTATTAACTTATTTGCCATGCTACATTCAATATGATGTACGTGGCGTGTATGGGTACCGGCGCTGATGCTGGCAATGATGGGCCTGATGGGGTGCCAGACGACGTCCAGCAGCAGCTCGCCCTTGGTGCCGTGCAGGATCTTGACGATGTTCCCGATGGACTTCTCCCAGATATAGAGCGCGTGCTGCCGCGCCGAGCCCGCGCAGATGTACTCCCCGTCGCCCGAGAAGCAGCACTTCTTCCACGTCGTTCTGTCAACCACACAATATGGTTATTTTCACAACAAATTATTACACCATTATAATAAATATGAGGATGAGTTTATAATAAATATCATTAACTTCACAAGAATTATGAAAATTTATTTTCTCCTCTAGCCAATGGTTGTCTGGAAGAGATTGCTTGAGCAATAAGACTGCATTTTGTACCCCATAAATGTAATATATATTTATTTTTTGTATTATTCTTTAAGTGGTGAAATAAAGAGTAAATAAATAAAAAAAAATTGTTTAAAATTGTGCCTATTAATAATTTGTTTTTTGGATAAATTATATTTTATTTCAAATAAATTGTATATTTTTAAATGTTTCATATTGATATTTGAAACGTGCTCTGCTACCAAACTGAAATATTAATCATGCAATAATATTCTTAGTAAAGTGTCACTGAAAATTTGTATTTTGATGGATCAATGGTGAATAGCATATTTAATTAATTCCAAAGAAAATATGAAGCAAGTGCAAAGGTTTTTAGTAATAAATAAAAATAAATCCACTATTTATATGTAACATATTCTACGATATTGTCATTATACAAATTCTAACTAGTTATAGTATTTAATATTGTATTGTATTGTAAAATCTTTATTGTACATAATTGACATTGGATACTGATAAATGATTAAATATACAATGACGGACTTATCCCATAAAGGGATCTAAATAATATATCTGTTACAATATAGATAATGAACAACCTCTCCTATAATATTCAGCATGTATTCTGGTGTCTACCCAGTACTTATTGAAAGAATTATAAACTTTTCCTTACTTGTTTACAAGGTCTTGTAGCTTCTGTATTGGTTCAGGATCTCCATTTATGCCACATTTGAGTACGGTTTTAGTGTCGTATACTCGAATAACTCTATCAGCAGTGTTTACTAGAAAACAACTGGAAATATACACAGCAATAAATATAGGCACTATCAAATAATAATAATAACAATCATGCTATCATACCAGTCCTTAATTATCCACTGCTAAACATAGGCCTCCCCTTGTTAGTGGGATTTTCCAGTAGTTGCCACATTTGGCAGGCGTGTTGGCAATAGCAGTTAGGCTTTTGTGATGTTTAAGAGGGGGTGCTGCTGCCCATTCCACAATCATTAAGTCACATCATACAACACTTACGAGAAGGAAATTATACAAATAATAACTCCAAAATCATTATATTAAAAAAATCCTAAATTACTTTATGATTTTAAAAACATGCCCAGCTCTTCTATTTATCTAGCAAATTTTTAAAACAAAAGTGCTCATAAACAAGTCTCAACTGAGTAGACAATACTTTATTCTTAGTTAATAATGCATATTTATTGAAACGGTAACAATTGAAGGAATTTTTGGTGGCCACTTACTCTCCTCTCCTTGCAAATTCTATGCTCTTGATACTAGTAGTGCTCGAGGTACCGACGGTTATTTTGAAACTAGCTTTTATGGCTAATGTCTGAGTGTCTAGAATCAGTATCTTGCCTTTCGCATTGCCCGTGTACACATGGTCCCCTCTGCGATCAAAAGATGCTATGACATTAATATCGCCCTGAAATAAATATTTTGTTAATTCCCTAAGCTTTTTTTTACTTTCAAAACAACAGATTGTAAATATAATATCACAGAATTGTTCATAGTTAAATTATAAATTGAAATTTAGCATTATAAAAAGTTTATAAAAAGCAATTGAATTTGATCTAGTGGGAGCTTAACTTAATTTCTCTACTGGCAAGTATTGCATATCTTTTTTATGAAGCAAAAGTAATGATAAAAAATCCTAATAAATTTTTAAACTAAAGCAAAGATTTGATTTACTTGAAATTATGTATAATTACTATGAAAAAATAAATAATTAATTATATTTCACATTAGAATTCACACTTCATGGCCTGGTGCAATGTTCTCGTCATATAAATTTTCCCAAGAACTAAGCTCAATTCTACATTAAAATCAAATCACTTAAAAACTAACAGACTCTTGGCGTTGTGCATTAAAATATATACTAATTTATAAACTATATATATTCATCATCATCTTCCTACCCTTATCCCAATCATTTGGAGTCGGCGTAATATGATTTTATCCATATTACAAAAAGATTTGGTTTTTAGTTTTACGACCGGCCACCTGCCTGACGTCAACCCTCTTTGGGTAAACTATATATATTAATAATCTAAGTGCGGAAAACAGAGTCTTTCTCACACATATATATTAATAATTTATATTAATACTAGCTATTTCGACTGCTTTGCCTGTGTGATTAAGTATAAAGAGTATTCTATAAGTAAGGATATAAGCTACACATTAATTGTAATCTGTCCAGCCATAAGCATTATTGGCTTTTTTTTATACCACAAAGGTGGCAAACAAGCATACAGTCCATCTGATCGTAAATGGTCACTGTAACCTATTGATGACTGCAACACTACAATGACACTAGTAAAAATATTCAAACATCTTTACAAAATTTTACATTTATAATATTATTATGATTAAGATATCACACTCAAAACTTACATCTTCATCTATTGGTAATATTTTGTGGTCTCCGTCTGTATCGACCAGTAGAGCTGCGTGTCGGACCGGGCACACAAGAAACTTTTTATCTTTGCGAGGATCAAACTGTACCCTTTGTATTGGTGTTGGGAACCTGTATCTCTGCTCACACTCTCCGGACAGTACGTCCCATATGCACACATTGTGATCTGTTGATGCTGACAGGAGCTAAAAAAATAAAAAAAAACTATATTAAAACAATTAAACTTAGTTTTAGAGATATTTTTGAACTTAAAATTCATATTCTAATAATTAGGAGGTTGAAAAAATTTTACAGCATATGGGATCAGAACTTTAAATCTCTACACTATGTCAGCCTCTTTCTTATTTACCAGAGGGAGACTTCGTACAAAAGTCGATTGCTGGGGTACCTCTGTCCCATTTGTTTCTACCGTGAAGCAGTTGTGTGTGCATGGCTGTGTTTCGGTTTGAAGGGTAGGATATGGTGTGAATTTACAGGGTACAGAGGAATAACACCTGAGTCTTAAGGAATGGCAACGCATGGGTGGTATCATGGGTGAAACAGTATACTCTGTTATGTCCACGGTACTGCTCATGTCTATAGGCAACGGTTACTACTTTCCATCAGGTGGGCCATCAGCTTGTTTGTCATTCTAAGTTGAATAAAAAAAAATCTATATAATTTGTAATCAATAACTGCCAAATATCCAATTAATGTAGATTACAAGACACTTAGGGTCTTTATTTGGTCAATAGTTTTGAGCTTTTAATTTGATGTTTATAACATGACTGACTTTTTTTTTAATATGCCTACATTGTGGATGTCTATAAAAAATTTTTATCTAGCCAACGTTATGTGTTTATAAGATTAGATATTTAAGACTCCTTATATGATGTATTATTATACCTTTTTACAATTCCTTGACCAACTCAAACTGCACACTGGATATACATGTGCCGATATTGATTTAGCTATGCCGCGGGTCAGAAAGTCCCAAATGAAGATTCTGCCATCGTTACAACCCACTGCCAGCAGTGTACCGCGACGGTTGAAGGAACAAGTTGCCGCTAACGATATTGAATCTAGTGTGCCATCGAACTCCTTTGAAAAAAAAATATAACAATCGTAAAATTGCGTATTTTATATACTGATAAATATTTAATTAAATAGCTAGTCAGTGGGTAGGCATAGTGAAAACTTACCTCTGGATAATTTTGACCAAATGATTCTGAAACACAAAAATAAACAATGTGAAATTACCTAAAATATAAATATTCAAAACAAGAATTTCGAAAATGTATAAATCTAATTTAAAAAGTTGAGATAGGTATGAGATTACCGAGTAGTTCTAAATTCATGATATAATGCGGTGATTTTTTTTTATTCTTATTTTATTGATCGAATAAAGCAGATCATTCGAAGAATACCACTGAAAAAATTAGATATATAAATAGATTTATATTTATAAATAATTAGACAAATTCGAAAAAAATAAACGTCTAATGGGAAAAGAATGAGACAGGATACAAAACAACACAAATCACACAGAAAAAAAATAAACATAGACCAAAGAGTATATAATCAAAGGATAAGAGTGCGCACTTCATACGTAAAACGACTTGGTCAGTCCTTTTCTCGTTATGTTGGCCAGCCTGATGTTCAAAATGGAAACGAATAGGTTATAATTATACTATACTTTGATACTAGAAACGAGAATCATGTGATAAAAGAAATATATATATATATATTTTTACCATATTTTAAGAAAAATAAAACAAAAGATAACCTGGAGATCTAAATTTCGTAATATTATTGACAGTAAACACAAATTTAAAACACTTCCCGTAATATCTCGTCAATTTCTAAAGTAGACCTTGTAGTAGAGTCAATATTTATTTATATTCTTTATTGCACTTGAACAATACATGTAGTCATTACATATAGTCGTAATTCTCACATTAAAATAAAAGAAATATGAAATACAAAGCTGAAATTGTTTCAGAAATAGTTTAGATAGCAGTTATTTTCATCAAATTTGATAGTATTTTTATTAGTTAAGTTGGCACTTCTGAGATTTTATCATTGAATTAAACGTTGGCATGATATTTCCTAACCAAATCTAATTATTAAAATCTAATCATTAAAAGCTAGTATGGAATATACGCAAGACTGATAGAAACACAAAAGTTCTCTGTCTAGACAAAAGACACAGGCTAAATTCAAAATCGGGATAAATGATTGTAAACAAAGATCTAAGTGTTAAGAACCTCCTTGGTTCAATGGCAGGCGATATGCATTCTAGCAGCGCTTATCAATGTAAAATAAGAAAATAATAATAAAATAAAAATGATGGTTTACACTTTTGTCTTACATACTATGAACATTGACTGAACTTGTTAACTGAGTCATATTAACTAGTGTAGGTAACCAAAATCCTAGTCCTGGTTTTCCTTAATACTGATCCTGATCCCGGCGTTGCTTAATACTGGTGAGTGCTACTACCAATTTCCTATATTACTAAGAACAAGGAATTACAGTTTAGGTTTAAGCACAAGGGTTTAGAAATAACTATTTAGAAAAATAATTATTTCCACTTCTAAATTACTCAGTGGACCTGGAGGCTTACCATCAGCTTATAAGAAACCATCTTTATACAGGGCAGTTCAAAAGTAGACCTTAAACACTATTGTTTAAATTCATACTATGACGCCTTTAAAGGTGAACTATTTAAAAATTGTTTTCCACCGGGTGAATAGCTTAAATTGTCTCTGGTCGTCTGGCCTAATATTACTTTACCGCGAACATTCAAACACTTAAATAATTATTACCAAATTTTCATGAATATTGAACAAGAAATTTCATGATAATTACCAATTTTTATATAATAAATATTATGAATTCTTGTTAACTCGATATAAAAACCCAGTGTTTTTATAGTTTAAATCATTACAAGTTAATAAACAATATTAAGAATTTGAAACCGTCGTCACTCAAGTGGCAAAAAAAGTTTTTAATTTCAAGTGTTTTAAAATAAAGTTGGATAAATCCAAACTTGCTGAAGTGTTTAAATGTGAACCATGGATTGGGGAGTAGCACTTTACTTTCAGTATTTGGCTATCCTTTGTGCATAAAGGTTTTCGAAACTATAATGTCGTGAGTAACTATTTATTGTTAGTTTAATAAAAATTCTTTGTATATTAGCAGCCACGTGTGTTATATTATAGGTCTATTTATATTTTTGTGTTTATTATTATATGAATTGCAGTGAAACACAACAAAGCAGACGGCACATATACCCAACTGCAAAATTTATGGGAATTTCTTAAAGATCATAGGGAAATTGCAGTTGGGTACAACAAGTCTGCTCAAGCCCGAGAACACTCGAAACAGATGTGGTTAAGAGTTGCATCTGTATTGAATTCTGTAGGTGAAGGCGCTGTTAAGTCTGGCCCCGAATGGTCTAAGGTATGTTCCAATAAGGTTTATTCTCTTAAACATCTTTTTATATTTTTTTTATAAAATTTTTTTCTTCTAGTATTGGGTGGACCTCAAAGCTAAAATAAAAAAAAAAAACTGAGGAGAGATTAGTCAGACAGGAGGAGGTCCATCAATTTATGAAGAATTGTCAGAAATGGATATAAAGTTCCTGTCCATTTTAGGAGACTATGGTTCTGGATTACCTGGTGTACAAGTGCAACCAATTCTGATAGAAGTAAGTATTCTATGTATTTTATTTCAGGTACCTATATCCTTATTTGTTTGATATAATGTTAAGTACTGAAAACAAAATATATCTCTCAAATGTACCCATGCAAACACGTAGAAGTTTAATATATTATTTTATAGTTATGTCACTTTATTGAGAAAATATTCATTTATGTTTCATAGGAACCGCAACCTGCTGCTTACAATCCTTCCCAACACAGCACCAGTGAAGGAAGAAGTGAGGAGGCATATTGGTTAAATGTTGACTTAGAAGGAAATGTAAGTATTTAATGATAAGTATATTATGCACTTAAATATTTGTAAATGCTTAATTACTATTATGAAATAATAATAATTCAAACATAAAAGTTATAATTCTTTGTGCAAAGGCCTCCTAATATAAAATTATTTTTTTATTTAGAGTGATCTTACTACTGCAGTATCGGGACCTAGTGATACTGGTACAAATACCGATAGTGGTACAACCCAGATCATAGAAGTACCATCGATATCATCAGCCCATATTATGGTGACAGAAAGAATAGAATCACCAAGACCATCAACATCATCCATTGATATGCAGAGCAATGTCCCATCGGGCATTACTCAATTTGTTGAAGGAAAAGTACCAAGAAGGAGGCGTCGATTGCGACGACGTCACGTGTCCATTGCAGAGGCAAGGGAGCAGTTGATGGCAATTTCCAGGTCACGAGCAGAAGCAGAGTTAGCCAACAGTTCCATAGAACAGGCTGTTGGTATACTCAAAGAAATGTTGGATGTAATGAAAAGGATATGCTCAAGGTCAGTAATAAAAAAATGGTATATTTTTTTTTTCAAGTAAATTAATTATTTTGAATAATAACTTTATAATTTATATCACTTAATTTAGAAAACAATATTAGCTGAGAAATATAGGCAAAAAACTTAGATGTTAATCTTTTCAAACAAAAATAGAATACAATAGAAATAATCTTCATTCATTTATTTAAACAATAATTTCAAACTAAGTAAACTAAAAACAAATGGTTAAACAGATTCTACTTAAGTAATATGTAATAGAAAAAGAGATAATTCAGTTTTGTTGAAAACATAATAGTGTACAGTTGTAAAGATTTTGTATCTATAAAAATATGAAATAATAGATTATGTATATATAACAATGATTGGTATTCCCATATATATTTCAACACTGCATACATTTTTAACTTCCTAAAGCTACCGTTATTTATCAACATTACTAAATTTATCTACTAAACCAAAATAATTTGTTTTCAGTGTATCTGATGAAGTGCAGAGACTGGATATACCAACTTGCAATTCACGGTTTTGTCGTCCTACTGGGTCTTCATAAGGTACTACAGATTTGCATTAAGGCCTCTTGTTGGTTCTCCTCTGCAGACAGATCAGGTATTGATAAACTGGCTGCATTACAAATATTGTGCAAAATTATACACGCATTTGTAATATAGCCAGCTATTTGAGGTTGATAATGCAACACTCTGTGAACTAATAGACAACGAAAGCGAGCTTTTAAAACACCTATTGTTCTCTCAATAGTATATTGCTTTCAATGTAGCTAGTGTAATGAGCTTCTGGTGATTCTGGTGCTGCCTCCAAAATTGGCGTCATCATAGTTTTTCTTAATGGATAACAATCCCCTGTAATAAAGACCATTACTTATTGTAAAATCAATTATATTATATAAACATTTAAATACAATTATGATTTTATATAAAATTAGTGATCTAGTCTGATTTCGCATGGGTAGATAGAATTTTTAAAAATTATATATAGCCTATGTTATTTATTGACAATTTGTTTCTCTATAGCAGAAAATTTTTTAAACTCAAATGATTTTAAATTAATCCATTATAAATAAACAAATCTTTCTTCTTTATGTTATTAGTATACACATAAATAATTACGTATTTCTTTAATATTACCTAAAAGCCATATTGCCTCTGATGCACTCAAATTTTCTAAATGAGATCTAAGGGGGTGGTTATTCCAGATAAAAGAATCGTGGTTGGCACCAGGATGACTTGCATCAACACTGATTATATCCATATCAGCATTACAAATCTGATAAAGATTAACTTTTTTATTTTTTTATTGCTAATAATTTTATATTCGAAAAGTTTCCTAATTTATTATAATAAAGTATAAAAATGAGAGAAATACCTTTTACTGAAAAACAATTAGATATATGTTTAATTATTGTAGATATGAAACTATTATATTTCTTATGTATGTCACCATTTTCTAAAAAAAATAAAACAAATATAGCCAGAATAAGTGCTTTGTTGTACAAACTATTTTATATATTTATATTGTAATTATAAATCATTTTTCTTAAATCACATGTATAGAAAAAGTTACAATTTTATTATGTTAAAGATTATAATTAAAATGTAATGGGCTAAGTCCACTTTTTATATTAAATCTTTTAATGTAATTTAAATTATGCACAATAAAGATTTTACAGTCAATACAATGTAAATTCTGTATCTTTTATTTCAATATAGCTCATACTATATTATAATATGTTTTATTTTTTAATTAAAATAAAAAAAAGAATAGGTTATTTTAACTAGCTACATTATGCATATAATTTATGAATCTTTTGTTTAATTTATAGTGGCAAAACCACCATGAAATATATATATATATATATATATATATATATATAAACATTTAAACATCTTTATCATTTACTAAGAAAAATGGAATGGTAACAAAAGATAACCAGTGAAGGGTGATAGATGAGAATGAAAACAGGTCAGTTAGCCCATCATGATGAATTCATCAGGAATTAACCATGATAGTTTCTAAGAACCACAAGGAGGTCCATTCATCTCCATTACTAACAATCCCTTTCCCCCACTAAGTAGGTAACATAGGTAATTTGGCTGCAATGAGTCAAATATTTTAAAATATGTAAATCATAATTAAATTTTACATTACCAATTGAACATTTATGATAATTTTTTCTGCAATAATACCTTTCTTCATGTTCATTGGGTCTTACTATTGCAATATGGGAACAATCAATGCATCCAATCACACCAGGAATAAAATTTTTCATAAAATCTGAAAGGTAAATAAGGAAAGAAAATAAAGGGCATTCTGTGTAAGTTGTCTGAAATTCATGATCTCTTGTAACAGAAAGTGTTCTTGTGTGGCTTAAAAATATAAAAAATACCTTAACTTATTTGTATTATCAGTATTTTGGGGAAATTTAATGTATTTATTTCTGATTTCCAAATTATTTAAAGCAGCTGTAACCTCTGATAATACAGAAGAGACAGTCTGCTGCGCAGATTTTATCATTGATAAGACGTTGTGCATATAAATACACTGCTGTTAACACCTGAAAACAAAACAGTTAATTTATTAAAGATCTAGACTAGAGAAAAGCAGAACCAGTAGATAACAATATATATAATAAATCACAACTACCTTTGTTTCAATGCTTAAATCATTGGATCAAAAAATACTCCAACTCCTCACACAGATCTCAACCAAATCTGGTGATAATCTAATAAAAGAAAGTTGTAAATAAATAGGTATTAAATAAAACCTGTCTCTAAGATTTGTAATTGTGTGATCTTTTCTTATGATTGTTTGTGTTTATAATAAGTTTAATAATGAATTTTTTTAGAAAAAACAACTAAGGGTTTTTATCTATATAAGACTATCCATTAACTAAAACGACTATTATAAGTAGAATATGATATAAATGTATAATATAAATAACAGTAAAGTATTAATATTCATTTATAAACTCTCTATCCTCCAATTCGAAAGGGTCATTAATTTGCCTTAACCGACGACGCTTATTTCTTCTCTCCATTCGGTATACACTCTCTAAGTATTCAAACAATTCGTACTCGTCGCACATCTACAAAAAATTTTAACTTGGATTATGATGCAACTAAAATAGAAATAGATAAGAGTTTTTTTGTGTAAAAATATGAACCTTAAAACCACTTGAAATTTATAAATTCTGGCTTAATTCGTAAAATGAAGGGTCACTTGAACTCTGAATGTCTCCCACAGAGCAAGTAATTAATTAAATCCTTACAAAACCACTACAAATATCAAAACAATTTATAAAAAGTTACTCAAGAACTAACTTTTTCAACATTGCTTTATTTGACATTAGAGATGCGTAAGAAACGTTTTGTTGCTGTCAAAGTTGGCGTCATGGTACGAATTGTTCATATAAAAAAAAGGTGAACGGTTTAGAAATACTAGTCTAAATAGTCTTGTAGCAGGCCAGCTATAACGCGGTCATAGTACGTTTTAGCAGGACAGTTGAATTTAAGGCCTGCTAAAAAAGCTTATAGTAAGCCTGCTGTACTTATTTTGTGACTATACTGTGCGCATAGACTTAGAATAAATAATATTGCGATAGAATCTTTAGAAAGAATAAAATTTCTATCCCTTTTTAATCTGTGAAATTATTATTTATTAACATAATTTTTAACTTCTTGATTTTTATATTTATCATAAAATATTTACTAAAATGGTTTTATCGAAATTATAATTTTAATGATTTTATTGAGATCGTTTACAAGATACCACTATTATAAAAAATCTTGTAAGTTTATTAGCACCAACTAATTCTTAAATAAGTATCTAATAAATAGTTGTTTTTTTCTCTAATTTTACCTATCTCGCTTTACAGTAATAACAAAGCGGTACAATTATTTTTCAATGATGTCCAATACTACGAGTGAAGACGACATTACATGGAGCGGTGTTCCGATTTCTGAAATATTAGGCTCCCAATCACCTTGGGATGCCCCGGAGTTTCCTCTGGTGTCCCCATCGTATAATCATGCGGTGTTATATCATGTATCAAGTGATGGTAGCATACCCACTGACAAACCACCCAAACCACATGTTGGTCAAGACAAATGGGACCAAGATCATGTGAGGATGCCATGCTCCAGCCACAGTTTATATCCTGTTGAAGATGTAAGTACACTCTTGTTGATTGTTTTGTAGACAGTACAACATGATCCAAAATGGACATATTTAGGCTTTATGTTGTAAAAAATATAAAGTCCATTCAAAGTTATCTATAAAATAATAAATAATTTAAAATAAATTTAGAAAATTATTTTTAGAAAGTTTGCCCAAGATTATGTTTGTCTGCTATTTCCTAAAGAACTACTGCAGCAAATTGGAATTGCTTTTCTTTGTTATATTTCCTAAGGTCTTAACTGGTGTATATTTAATCTTGAAACATTAGAAATGGTTTGTTGTATTTCCTACTTCTGAAATTCATACATTCAAAGTAGCGAGTAAAAGTTAGAAATGAAATAAAGGTATAATACCAGATATCTTTATCTTCACTATGTTTATCTTTCTTTTTTTCAGAAGAATGGTAAGTCACGGTTAAAGAAAAGATGGGAGTTAATTCAACATGCTTTATGGAAGCCAATACGCAATAGTGAGCAACTAACCAATGCTATATTGTCATATAATACTAAGTTTAAAACTATTTGGAAATTCCGGGCTTTACACAAATTTTTCAATGAAGTGAGTATCAAGTTAGATTATGCTTTCTCTAGCTTTTTCTATTCTCTATTTTTCACTGTTGAGTTTTGTGTTGTAACTATTTTTAAGCATATATTATTATGTGGAGAGGTGAGAGAAACCTTTAATATATTTCCCCAAAATATAAAATTTTTTGTATGAATCCTAAATTTTTCTTAATTTTTTACTTACTGTATGTACCCAATATGAATCACCTTTATTTATATGTATATTTGAAATTACAATTTACCATCTTATTCATAAAAACTTAAACCAATTTTAAGTTTTTTTTTTGATGGGTGAAAATTTGAAATTATAGATGAGAATGAAAACAGGCCAGTATCATGATGAATTCATCAGGAATTAACCATGATAGTTCATAAAAACTATATTGCTAGCAATAAGATTCTCAGTCTCCGTTATTAACAATACTTCTCCCCCCAAAATTTTAAGTATTACACTGTTTTAATGTAATAATTTATGTGTAATTAGATCGAAGAAGCTTGACTAGTTTCTGGATCAATTCATGATCCTTAGTTATGAGCGACTGTGATGCAAGCATGAGCCTGACTGTATGCTTACGAAACTATTAACAATAACTGTTTGCTCACTTTCTTTTAAACTTAAATTTTAGTACAAAAGTAATAGACAAAACAGTTTAATAGCTAAAATAGATTTACGAGGGATTTGATATTTTATGATTAATATTTTATATTTTATTTTAAATATATTTCTCTATTTTCAGTACTTAGAAGAGGAAGAAACCCAGTACTTTTTTGATGTAACTTTGCCGGAAATAGCAAAACTGGTGTTGGCATTACCAAAACTAATACAAGCACCCATACCTTTACTGAAGTGAGTTTTAGTATACATTTTGTACTATTTGAGAAAATTATCTATGTTAAATTAACTTCTTTACCTTTTCCTGATACCATAAAGAGACTACAGACTAAACCGTCTTTAAAAAAAAAGTTCATGCTCACTTTTTTAATTTATCCGAGCAGTAAGTACTGTAAGTACTTAATATTATTCTCAATTTCGTGTATAATATAGTATATGTCATACATGTGTAAGTATATTTGTTATTTATATTTATTCGTTTATATATGTAATTTTAGTATGTATGTATATCAATAATTACTAGTACCGCATTCGAGTATTCTGACACTTCCCTATGGTTGACTGGGTTAGAATGCTTTTAGCATTAAGTCGTTATGTACACATATTTGTACTAATGAATAAATAAATAAATAAAATATTGATGTTTCAGGCAGAACATGAACCACTCAGTGTCCTTATCTCAGCAACAGATCTCCAGTTTATTGGCGAACGCATTTTTCTGTACATTCCCACGGCGGAATACTTCCAAGAGGGCCTCCGAGTATGCCTCATACCCGCATATCAACTTTAGTTCGTGAGTATACCTTGTTTTGTGGAATCCAATTATATTTTTTACGTGATTATTGTTACAATTATTAACGCTTTGCTTACCGGGAATTTCGTCATGATTGAAATCTTTGGAATTAAATTAAAATTTTATTCTTTATTACATTTTATACAAAAGGTTATTGAAATGTAAAAATAAAATATAATAGTGCACAAAGGCGAGCTTATCTCCAATAGAGATTTCTTCCAGCAAACCCATAATGAGAAAACTGACAGTTCATTAGTAGTTACAGTCATACATGTTTAAGAGGTCGGTGGTTATGTGGTTACTCGTGTCATTATAGGGGAATCCGACTCATGTATTAACAGTTCCACAACTTTGCAATTAAAATACATTTGTATTAAAGCGACTTACCAAATTATACGTCTTTACTGATCAATGTTCAATCCACAACTGTCAACTGTTGGTCGTTACTTCTAGTTTTTATGTCGACTATTTTGGCGGGTAAATAATTATTCCGGAAATGACAAATCACCATTTTGCAGTTAAATCAAATCAGCAACGGTGGCACTTGACAACGGTTATGTTATGATACAAATATAATAAAATATTGGTATACTAAATGTAAAGATGCTAACACATGTTTACCAATCGACTTAAATGTTATTGTTAAAAATAAATAAATAGTCTTTACAATTGAAAAGACCGATAGGTATAAATATATAAATAAAAATATATATAAATAAATACATATAAATAGATATATATTATATATAATACACAAATATAATAAGTACGAACGTCAGCATTGTGAGAGGTAATAATTCTTCAGACGCGATTTGAAAATCCCAAGGCTATTTCTAATTTCATGAGGAAGTGTATTCCATAATCTAATTGCAACCACAATAAAAGAGTCTGAATACGCTTGACCAGAATGAATCGGAGTTCGCAATAAAGAACGATTAAGAGAGAGCAATACTAGTATTGCTTTCCGCTGAATACAGAAAGTTAAACCGCTTACGTACTGGGGGGAAAGGGATAGTTAGTAATGGAGTTTGACAACCCCATTGCTAGCAATATGCCTTATTAGGTCGACTTCCACGTGGTTCCCCCTGGAAACCATCGTGAACAATTTTTGTTGAATTCGTCACGATGGGCTAACTGACCTACTTCATCTCGTCACCTATCATCCTTCACTGGTGCCCCGCCGGTGTATACCGATAGCGCGGGTGGGGTCACCATTCCATTATTATCCATAAAAAAAAAAAACCACTCACGTACCTACACGCTACGCTGGTGCAATGACCCGTCATCCGTCAGCAACGTTTGGATATGAAAAGACGAGTTAACTCATTACCAGTTAGCAAAGTGTTAAATTGTGTTTAACATAAAAAAAAGACTTCATATTTGGCAAAACCAGCTATTTTGATTTAAAAAACTGTATTACTGAATTGAATTTGATGAAATTGTTAGTAATGAGAACTCCCAGTCCCATTGCTAGCAATATACTCTGTCAAGTTGACCTCCACTTGGTTCGTCCTGGAAACAATTGTGCTGAACTCCAGGTGTCTTCATCACGATGGGCTAACTGACCTGCCTTTTCATTCTCACCTATTACCCCTCACTGGTGCTCCACCAGAGTATACCGTTAGCGCAGGCGGGGTTACCATTCCAATATCATCCAATAGGGGGGGGGGGGGGAAAGGGATTGTTAGTAATGGAGACTGAGAATCCTATTACTAGCAATATACCCAACCAGGTTGACCTCTTCGCGGTTCTCTCTGGAAACTATCATGGTTGAATCCTGATGAATTAATCATGATGGGCTAACTGGCCTGTTTTCATTCTCATCTATCGCCCTTCACTGGTGCTCCGCCAGCGTATCCCGTTAGCGCAGGCGGGGTTACCATACCATTTGCACCCATCTAAAAAAAAATATCCAATAAAAAAAGAAATATTATAACTCTTCTACACATTGCTGTAAAAAGCTGATGTTTCATATTACATAGCCATAATATTGTTACAGGTTATATGAAACTACTCCTTTGGACTCTGTTTTGGAGAAGCTCAAATGCATCTGTCACTATTTCAAAAGAGTCACTGAAAAAGGTAATATTATTCTTGTGTAAAATTAGTTATAACTTATTTTTTTTTCACATTAGATAGATAGATAGATAGATAATTTATTTGCATTACAGCACACATTATAAGATATACAGATATACATAAAAAGCGAGATAAAATAAATGATTAAAAAAATACATAAAGCCAAGTACAATTTTTCCTTTTGTGTATGTGCCATAACAATATAAAATGATAGATAGATAGATAGATAGATAGACAATTTATTTACATTACTTACAGCACACAAATTACAATAAAAAAAAACAAACATACACGTAATACACAGCAAAAGAGACAAAAGAATAAAAATAAAAAAAAGCACAAATAAAAAAAAATAATACAAAAACAAAATACATAATCTAACAATCTCCTTTGTTACCATTCCTTCATGCGTGTGCCATAGTAACACAAAATGGTCACAACTCAGTTTTTTGCTTCGCCCTCAAGAGAGCAAAGCACTGTTATTCTGTTGTGGTCAAAGGGAATAGAATAATATCTCTTTGTACATAAAATATTGTTTAGTTTAAAATAATGATTTTTCTTTAATGATAAAAATTGAGCAGCTCGCATTTTGAGATATATCGCACAGTAGAAAATATGATAGTATGCGAGTTGTATATTTAATTAAACTGCTGCAGTTACATAGGAAAAACCATGGTAAATTATTCATTGATTGATTTTAACAATGTGTGTGTTTTCACATTTAGTAATTATCTAGACTGTAAAAATAATAGCAGCGTGGACTGGTGTTGTGGTACAAGGGGCGTGTGTTGCAGTACAGTGCCGAGCGGCGTGATGACGGTGGTGCGGCGCGCGGTGGCACGTCCGCAGCTGCCCGACTGGTCCAGCTCGCAGCAGCTGGTCGCCGTGCCGCTGCATGTCGACAGCGCCGCCACTATCGAGGACATGCACGGCCTCATACAGCTCGACTTTGCTAACAAGTTAGTTGTTGTATCAGACGTTAATATCCTCACTGCTGAATATAGCTGCTTGAAGTCCACAAGCATGTCCCATTAGTATTTCAAGCGTAAAGCAGTTATGTTTGCATGGTTTTGTTATGGTTTGAAGGGTGGGATATGGCAGTGAATTTACAGGGTACAGAGGAATAACTAGAGTCCTCAAAAGTGGCAACGCATGGGGGGTATCATGGGCGAAACAGTATACTCTGTTATGTCCACAGTACTGTTCATGTCTATAGGCGACGGTTATCACTTTCAGCTTGTTTGCCATTCTGAATTGTAAAAAAAAAATTGTTGTAGTTTATTTCTTAAAGATTCCATAGACTATTTTATTCTTATACACAGATTTCTGTCTACTTTACCCTCCTAAATACAATTTGTTGGATTGTAATATTTCTCAGTCGATTATAGACAAAGACATACAATAACTTTTTTTTTTAACTTATTTTTTTTTGTAGATACCTCGGCGGCGGCGTGTTAGGCTATGGCTGTGTACAAGAGGAGATTAGATTCGTCATATGTCCGGAGCTACTCATTTCCATGCTCTTTACGGAAATGCTATTATCCAATGAAGCTGTGATTATGATTGGTAAATGTCTCCACGTTGTCTAAGTCTTTCTGTAGAAAAATAGGTAAAAAATGAATATAGTTCCATTTGTATCTTCCTTTCTTAATAATATAATAATAATACATATACATAGGTCAGGAATTTAAGGATAAATAATTTTATTCACTTTTGTTATGAATCAATATGATAAGGAGAGAAGTTTGTTTGACAGCTTCTACGAATTGTTTACTATATATACACTAGACAGCTGTATATATATATATATATATATATATATATATATATATATATATATATCTGTGATAAATCCAGTAGTGATTATTTCAATGAGTGATAATGAAATCATAGCCTAGCGTGCGTTATCTGTATACGTTTGCGGGCTATCAGAGAGGGATGATTGGTGCAAATGAAAGTAGGCCAGTTAGCCCATCGTGATGAATTCAACTGGAATTAACCATGATGGTTTCCAGAGAGTACTGCGTGGTGGAATTTGTTTTTAAACACTCCCCCCCCTCTCACCCTGTCAGTGGTGTATGTACAGTGAACGTTTTATATAAGCAACTCATTTGAACTAATTTCAATAAAACAAAACTAATTTTTTATTGGGAAAAGGGGAAAAAGGAGTATAAAAATACCGTCTGGAAAATGTTTTTATTTTTTTTACTAACTAAGCTGAGTACAATAAATGATATGTAAAGAATGTTGCGTATAGAGAGGTTGCTTATATAGAGCGTTCACTGTATTATGTCGGTTATTTTTTTAATGGATGATAATGGAATGGTAACCCCACCCGCGCTATCGGTATACACCGGCGGGGCACCAGTGAAGGATGATAGGTGAGAATGAAGTAGGTCAGTTAGCCCATCGTGACGAATTCAATAAGAATTGTTCACAATGGTTTCCAGGGGGAACCACGTGGAAGTCGACCTAATAAGGCATATCGCTAGCAATGGGACTGTCAAACTCCATTGCTAACAATCCCTTTCCCCCCTGTATTATGTCGGTTGGCGTGGTGGCAGGGTGCGAGCGGTTCAGCTCGTACACGGGGTACGGCAGCTCGTTCCGCTGGGCGGGCGCCCACCGCGACCGCACGCCGCGGGACGGCAGCGGCCGCCGCCGCGCCGCCGTGCTGGCCGTCGACGCGCTGCCGCATGCTAGCCTCGCCAGCGAGCTGCGACCCGCCGCCATCCTGCGGGATCTTAACAAGGTCACCACATTCTCTTTTACTGCTGTTACGGCTTTGTGTCGTGCATCTCACTCACACATTCCAGCGCGTTGTCTGTGACAGCTGCCACCTTTTATAGCTTTAATTTTCAGTACAATTACGATCGTCTTACCGTAGATAGATAGACAATTTATTTACATTACTTACAGCACACAAATTACAATAAAAAAAACATACACGTAATACACAGCAAAAGAGACAAAAGAATAAAAATAAAAAAAGCACAAATAAAAAATACAAAAACAAAATACATAATCTAACAATCTCCTTTGTTAACATTCCTTCATGCGTGTGCCATAGTAACACAAAATGGTCACAGCTCAGTTTATTGCTTACCGTATACCCATCCAGGCAAAAATAACTAGTAGTGTATTTCAAACATGTTGAACAAACCCTTATTCACATCCACGAGTATAGGCATGTTATAATTTAGTTTTCAATAAATACATACACCCTTGAACTGTACCAGATAAGATTTATTGTTGTCAGTCAATATATTTTTGAGCTTATATAAACGGGTTAGAAATCTTAATATCGCGTTGTAGCACACAAATACTAAAATAACAACTCCATCTAGTGGTCAACATGAGGAGTATTTTTGTTGTTGCCATGGTTACAGCATTTAACTCGATACGGATTACACACACGTTTCTATGATTAATGATTTGGTTTTACTAGCAGACCACTTTTCAAATAATTAATCAGTATGTTGATAAATTGTTTTTGAAAATTAATTATTTGATTGGTTATATTATTATTTAATTAATTAAAGTAAAACTATTCATATATCAAGCATTAACTGTCTAATGAAAAATAGGTTTTCCCCATAAAGGAGGTTTTGCTTGTAATTGTCATTGCTTGGTAAAGGAGTTGACAGCCGCAGTGTTAGATTTTTGGTAATGTTTACAGAGGGACACTACTTCCCAAGTAATCATTCACTCATTTACTTAATCATTCTTTTATTACCATTAAGTTTTTTTTAGTCATTTCTTACGACACCCACAGGATACGAAAGTGTGGCTCACTCTATGCTAGGACCATATAGAAAATTAAAGTGAAATTACAGGGTATAGAGGAATAATACCTGAGTCCTCAGGAATGGCAACGCATGGGGGGTATCATGGGGGAAACAGTATACTCTGTTATGTCCATGGTACTGCTCATGTCTATAGGCGACAGTTACTACTTTCCATCAAGTGGGCCGTCAGCTTGTTTGTCATTTTAAGTAGTATAAAAAAAAAGTTAATTTTTTTTTTATTTAGAATATTTGTTCTCTATATTGACCTGATTGAAGAAGAACCAATAGTATTATAAAGATATATTTACTTGTAAGACAAAGGAAACAATGATCTTGTTTAATTTAGGCGTGGGTGGGGTTCTCGTTCAATACGTGCGAGGAGGGCGGCGGCGCGCTGCAGCGGCCGGGCGTGGCGACGGGCAACTGGGGCTGCGGCGCGTTCGGCGGCTCGGCGCCGCTGAAGGCGCTGCTGCAGCTGGCCGCCGCCGGCCGCGCGCGCCGCCCGCTCGCCTACTGCAGCTACGGCGACCGCGCGCTGCGCCGCCGCCTCGCCGCGCTGCACCAGCGCCTGCGCCGCGCCCGCGCCACCGTCGGTGCGACCGCCACACGCCACGTGCCACGTTCATACCGCACACCACACTACAACACGCGTCGGGGGGGGAAAGGGATTCTTAGTAATAGAGACTGAGAATCCTATTATATACCCAACCAGGTCGACCTCCTCGCGGTTCCCCCTGGAAACTATCATGGTTAATTCCTGACGAATTCATCATGATGGGCTAACTGGCCTGTTTTCATTCTCATCTATCACCCTTCACTGGTGCTCCGCCAGCGTATCCCGTTAGCGCAGGCGGTGTTACTATAACATTTTCACCCATCAAAAAAAAAAAAACATGTCACGCGTCGTATCTACCAATCTATTTTACTCTACAAATTGTGTGTATTATTGTATATCTGTGTAGAGAGACGCTGTGACGCAAAGAACTGTACGCCCCCTTAAGGGGGCTTACGAAGACGTCTTCTTAAGCAGACGTATAAATAAATTCGAAACAGTTGTCGAAAATGACAGATACAGTATATTGGATAAATTTACAAAGTAGGCTAAATATCTAACAAACACCTTGTACTATACCTCACACCACAATAATTATTTATTTATCCTATTTCAGGACAGCTGTATAACTACATCTTAAAATTTGCACGCACCGCCGACGCGGACATGGCGAATTTGTACGACTTTATCGAGCGTACGATTGAGGAGGACCAGAATGGAATGAAAAGCAGTACAGAAAGTGTGGTTAGTGTTTAAATGATCTAACTTTTTTATTTTATTGCCGTGTGGTTCCAGTATAAAAAGGGTAACTCCTTTTTTCCCGAAGGTGTCGTAAGAAGCGATTAAAAGAACTTACTGGTCGAGAGATGAGCAGCAGCGTTCCCCTTAAAAAATCATCAAAGGCTAACAGCGATTGCCATTTCGCCTGTCTAACGTGACAACTAATGGCGAGGGGAACGCCTATGTGCAGTAGTGAACAGTTAAAATCTAATAGGAGACTAGAGGAACAAAACACGACACCTGGTCAAGAGAATAAAAACTGTGAATGTAATTCTTTACTAAATTGCTCTGCTTACAATAAAATTAATAATAAAGATAAATATAATTTCAGATTGACCTGGGCAAATTGGAACAACCAGAACTGTCAAGTTCGTTAGAAAAGGAATTTCTAAACAATTCATCCGACTTGTTCTCACAGGACGAAGCGGATCAGAGTTTAGACGAGTCTAAGTCGAATCAAATGGATGTAAGCGTAAAAGGTTCTGAACCTAGTACGAGTGATTGTAGAACGGTGTCATGTGACAACAAAATGGCGGTTGACGAAAACAAAATGGTGGCTAGCGACAACAAAATATCAGCTAGCAACAACAAAATGGCGACTAACAAACGCGAAATGGCGGCGAGTACTTCGAGTAGCACGTCTCGATTATTTGATGAAATGGAGAAGTTTGATGAAAACAATGGTAGGTTAAATTTAACCGACTCACACATAAGAACATTTAACCAAAGTGCTAATAGTGGATTAAATGATATGGACATATCAATGGATTGCGAGGAGAAAATACAATTGGATATATCAGTAGAAGCGAAAAAGAAGATAAGTAAGAAAATTACGGATTACTTTAGTAAAAAAACCATTTGATGAATTTGTGAAATAATAAATTATTTTACTTTATTACTGTCTTTTTGTTTTCAATCAACGACGTAGTAAGGACGGGTGTTATATATTTTAATTTTTGTATCTTGTATACCTGTAACTGGGTTCGTAGTTTCTTAAAAGGTAGACAGATCTCAATATGATATTTTCACTTGAAATATAATTGGCTTTAAGCATAAATTTTAATTATGTTTAATTAAAATTTCCGTGTAGTCGTGAATTCTTTAGAATTTTTCTTTTTCTCTTCGACCCTTTTCTTTTTCGTGGGTGTTTTGTGAGGTGACTAAGCGAACTTAATGGTCGGGGGATGGGCAGCAGCATCCTTCTTAAAACATCACTAAAGAATTGGCAACCGCAGTTATGGCAATTTGTATTTGTACGGAGGGATAACACCTGAGTCCTCAGGAATGGCGACGCATGGGGGGTATCATGGGTGAAACAGTATACTCTGTTATGTCCATAGTACTGCTCATGTCTATAGGCGACGGTTACCACATTCCATCAGGTGGGCCGTCAGTTTGTTTACCATTCTAAGTTGTATAAAAAAAAAACAAACGTGACAACCACTGGCAACACCCCAGGGGAGGACTGTTTTCAACAGTGGACGGTTAACGGCTGATATCAACATTAAAATTAAATTTCTCCTAGTGTGATAGTATCTGAAATGAGCTATTATTTACCTATATCCCACTTTATAACTGATGGGAAATGAGTTGGTAAAATAAAGGAGCGTGTTGTAGGTATTGTCTTCAATCTATCTAGGAATTGAGGGTAGGCTTCTTAAATTTTCCTTCACCGAATTCCCACAGGTACTATCTTTAATCTATGCTGAATCACTTCACCCTTAGATAAATAATTAATTTAAATTCACAATAGAAAAAAAACCTATCCTTAATCTATGCCGAATTCAATTTATCCTCAGATGAATAACTAATCTGAATTCACAATATAGAGTATTTCGGGTACTATTCTTAATCTGTGAAATCTATTGTATGTGAAATATTTTTCTAAGAACAAGGAGTTTTATTTTTCCAGCAAGGGTGCAGAAACCAATTATTTATTATTCCGTAATTATTATATTAATTAATTATTATTATATTAACGTATAGGTTGTAGTATAGGGCTATAAAAATAATTGAAATTTCGCTTGTTTTCTATTTCACTTTTACTCTTAACATTAGTGATCTATTCGCATTCCTATTCACACTTAACGTAAAAAGATTTACTTTTTCAATTTTGGCAAGGATCTAGTATTGCCAATTATATCAATAACAAACAGGAAATGAGACGGGATTTTAAAATGGAAAGGATTGCGCTATTTGTGATTATGAAGTTATAGTTTGATTATTGAATTGAAATTCTATTGTAATTCTCATGGCATTTGGCCTCCTTGTAAATTAAAAAAAAAAAGTGACAGGAATTCCAAATTCAATTGTAGCGGGAAAATGAAACACCCTCCTAATATAATTAAAATTATTTATTATCCTTCATCATATTTCTAGCATACTAAACGTAATAAGTGTATAATAATAAATAATTGAATAGTAATTTAGTTTTGAAATATTTCAGCAATATACATATTAATAACTCGATAATATGTTTAAACGTTCATTAACTAAATTAGACATGCAAAGTAGGCGAATTATTATTGTATTAGTTCCATAATAATGTGTCTACGTACGTAGTCACCTTTGGCTAAGTAAGTACATCTGATTATGCTAAAACTAATAAGTTAATAATTTCAATAAATTAAAAACGATAAAAAATAAAATAAACATAGAAAACAATTAACTAGCGACGCTCCAAAAAATTGTGATCATAACTCTCTTATTTTACAAATCTTTGGCGAACTATAACAACATACGAGAATAAACATTTCAATAGCTAGCTATCAAATGCACTGAAGTTTTTAAACTGTTCTGTTCATTTACATTATCTGAATATATGCAAGTATAAGGGTGAATCCACATCTGACCACGCCGAAAGAGTCGCTGTCCAACGAAATACCGGATTCCGTTGCACGTAGTAATCGATTCGATGATTCGATTACATGAACGGTGCGTAGTTGGGCACTTTATGATATCGAATCACCAAATCGGTTACTTCGGCATTTGATTTTCGAATCGTAGCGATTAGCTGGATCCTACATCAATTAGTTACCGACTTTTCGTAAGATTGTATATAAACAATTATAAAATTCGTCGCATTCGGTGCGGACAGATGTGCGTACACTCTAAATAGATAATTATACAAAGCCAGAACAGAACGACATCGGTCTATTGGTATTTGTACATTACAATTTGCTGTGGTTAACAGTTCGGATACACGTTCCTTTTGATAGCGACAATATTGAACAGGTACGGTTTGGCTAGAAACTTACAACAGATTGTCTAATGATTAGTTTTAGTGAAATAGGTTAGAATCGGCATACATTATAGTCAAATTGCTTTCAATATTATGCGAGTATATTTTAATTTGGCAATACAAATTTAACAGAAAAAATATGCCACTAGATGGCATTGCACTCAAAACAGATTAACTCAAAACAGATTGTTTAATTGTCAAATGTTTTGACATTTAAATCTGTTTTTTATTACATTATTTTTTTAATTTATAAAATATAATGGAAAATAATAAACTTACAAAAAATATTAAAATTGCGTAAAAATTTATTATCTTAATATTTTATTGGAAATAAAAAGATTTTTATTTCCGAACATAGTGGTATGTACTGGACAATACCACATAATTACTATTATAATTATTATGCAAGCAAACAATAAAAATATTACATTTAGAATACAATATTTTGAATTTCAACGAACGTGCGCTAGCAGCGCCGACTAGTGACACTTACTGGAACCTGACTATAATGTGCGCCGGTTCATAAATATCAATTCCTGAACGCCTATTGCACGTGTATCCGAATGAGGACTATATTAGCTGTATACGAGCTATGAGTAGCAAACTCGCCTTTATTGTCACAGGCAAACGGATATTAGTTGAAGGAAAGTGCACTTTATATCGGTTTGTTTTGGGTTACAGTTTGAATATCTGAATGTTTATTGCGTAAGCGAGTTTGACCACCATAGTTGTTAGTGCGGAATTTAAATTCAATTTTATTATAATACAATTTTATATGTTCTGTATAGCTTTTTACACGATAGACTTAATTGCATACATGCGAAAGTACGGTCAGCAAAGATAGGTGTATCGTTATATAGTAGAATGTCAAAGTGGCCAGGAAAAAGTCAGAGATATTTTCCTTTCTGTTATGAAATATATCGGGCACTTTATTTGCCAACCGTACATCTGTATGTCTGCTTGTATTACAATTGTTGAATACAATCTCCCAAGAGTTGTACCGGTATATCTTATGAAATAGATTTTTATTTAGCAAAAGCGGGTAACCGCCAATTTGAATATTACTTTTATTGGTAACTATTAACAATGGGGTCGATTCTGAAACGCCATTCGATAACTATCGTCTCTAAAACTAAAATTTTAATTTTTAATTACAAAATCTAATAATAATATATTTAAATCAATTCTACGACCAAATATAAACCAAATTTATAAGACGTTTGAGTTAGAAGTGCTTTAAATTTGGTTCTTGGGTGGTCCTTAACATAATGTATTTCCTAAACTATCAATATAAAATTTTAGAGATAATCTTAGGGTAATAGTACTTCAGAATCGAACCCAATATGACACTATGGGTGACATTCTAGTCCTTTGTGGGAAAGGAACGTAACAGTAGAACGGAGGGTACGATATTAATATATAGTAGGTTTGGACGATCATTACAAGCGTATATCACAGATGCCTTCTCAGGCATCCCAATGCTAAGCTATAATATGTACGTAAACAGCTATACTCTCTGTCCCTTGCTCCGATTATTCGATAATCCGAGTCGATATCTCAAGAATCGATTCACCGATGTTTCGTGATTGAAACCTGTTATTATAATTAATATTCGATTGTTCTCGAGTTATCGAAATGTAAAATCTAATAATTCCGAATAAAGGTGTTCGTTTACTATAACTATTCCAATATAAGTTATCCAGAACAATGTATGGGACATACACGAGTATTCTATTATAGGTCCATGTATTTTTTGGGCTTGGGCGACTGAGGCTGGGGGCAGATATATGTAGCCAACTTTCATGACTTCGTAACATTACGATCGGATATAGATTTTTCTCTTGAGTGGGCCAAAATTTCGATTTAACGTCAAGTTGAATATATTTAGATGAATCTATAGCTCTTGTTGATGGTAGACACTTGACACTGTAGACACAATAGATATGAGAACGTTCAAGTTTCACACGCAACTTAAAATGATCACAATCGTATAAAATTCTCATACGTCGTGAATAAAACTCACAAGAGTGTCTTTGAATCTCAGCCCATGCAAGCTTATAAGAACGGAAGGCATGTCAGAAAGGCAAACGAATATCAGAGTAAATATCCCAACACGCTCCTTCCGATCCCTACGAGATCTCCGTCGCCCGAACTATATTAAGTTTATCAATTAGAAATTCGGCTGTTACCAATCTAAACTGTTAATGATTATGATTTTCACTTAGCATTAAACAGCGACACCCTGTCACCCGCCCGAGATCGCTCGGGGCAAAAGGCTAGTAAGCTCCTAAAGATATGACGTCACATTATGTTTGTATTTACAATCGAGTTAGGGGCAAACTACACGTGCACGGTACTGGCAACTGACGTCCGCTACACCAATACCTCACGATCAACTACTGTTTCATAGCGTCCAAAATTATCAAGAACGAAACCATCGGTTACAGAGTAATTAATTATACACAGAGATTTCTTTACACGGACGGCGCGAATTTGTTTCTGAAACTTGGAGTGGCGTGCGGCTGCCGGCGGCGCCACTCCTGCGCTTCGGTAATTGATAGCTGAACTATGACGGTTACATCGTCTATCTAAATCATTTAATCTCATTAACTTGCTCTTACTAAGGTAACTTTAAACTTCTAACTTAACCAAACGGTTATACCATTCGAAACTCGTGATCTACCTGTTTATACCAATAAATTATCTCACACTTAAATTTAATGTATGCATCTAAGTAAATTATGGGTGAACATAAATATATCATTAGATTGGAACAGCATTCTGGATAACTTATGAAAAATATGTGACACCATAATTTCGTATAACCGTTGTTTAATGCACTGTTAACTTATTTTAGAAAGGTTACGAGTACAGGTTAACGTGCCGCCGCGTGGTTACAGCGACACGATGCGGGAAATAAAAACGCAATGGTAACGTAAGTCTCCCTAAAACAATCGTATATAAAATACGTTCCCAGTTTGTCGTACGTAAGAATCGATTAAAGTGTGCTTGAAGCTAAACTATGCTAAGCGATAGAAAAAATAAATAACAGAAAGAGATATGACTAGACGTTTTGTTTCATTACTAGGTTCTACAATTCATAAAAGCACTATGCGCCTCTCTCCATATTTTATTATATAAATAGATATATATATAATAATATGATTAATTATTCCGAATCTAATGTTTGTTCTTTCTCTGATTAAAATATTGGCATTCATCTTAGTAACTAACATCGAACGGTGTCAGTAGCCCTGTGTGTGTGATGTGAGTTCGCGGGCGACCCCGCGGCGCCGCGCGGGCCCGCACGGCCCCGTGCGGCGCCGCGGCGCCCACCATCCGACGGTCTATCTACCTACGCCTATATAACGATCCGCTTCGTCTCGCATATCATTTACAAATGATTCAAACGTCCTTGAGTGCATCGAGAATGTTCAACGTGTACGCGAGCGCTACGACGAATTGTAATTAATGCGAACGATATAAATATGTTATAAAACTTTAGGAGTTAAATAGTTTTAAGAAATTCGATTTCGTAATACTAATAATGTTATCGAACTGTGCGTGCGGGTAGCGAGACGTGAACGTCGCGTCGTGCCGCTACGGCATTTCGGGCTTTGTCGCCTGTTCCACAGGGTAGTCATTTGAATATTGTATTGGCACGTGTCTAAGCCGAAAGAAGTTGCAGGCGTTATGGCGTTTACTGATTAGCAAAGGCCCGTTAGTTCGCTGACGAGCGACGCGCACGCATCACCCGCAATAAGTATGGCACGATGATAAGTGAATGAGGATACTTAGTAACGCAAATCGCTTTAATTTGGGATGAGTATGTCGACGGGTGTTAGAAATAAACAGCTAAGCGCCTAGTGTTCGAGACTTTACAAGCTGACGATTTGAAGACGTGTATTGAGCGTTTGCAGCGCGACTTCGGTCACAGTACTGGGCATTGACACGTCAGGAGACGCCGTTTTGCCGCGATGGTGGTACACCAAAGTCACTGAAAACAAGCTCATAAATCGTCAGTCGAATAGCCACCGTGAAAGAGCTCTTAGAGTCGCGCGGTACAGTAATGTGATGAGGATGAGTCGGTACGCTACGATAGTACGAGAGAGTATAAAAAGTCGCGACAGACTAGTGAGTGGACCCGAGAGAGACGCGGCGCCCCGGGAGCGCGCCGCCGCCGGGATGTAGTACGACGAATCGTAGACTAAGTGAGAGAGTCGGCAAAATCTGCCTACATGAAAAACATTTAGATACATTTAAATAATTGCAAAGCATACCCTGTATCCTAGAATCACTTTTATGGGCGATTGTTTATACATTCAGAGAGGACTCATTAATCTATTACAAACGTTCGCGTCACCGCAATATATCTTTAGGGAATTTAATTTTAATCAGTATAAAGATATAAGTACACAATATTATTAATTGCCCGGGACGGTGCCACCGCGCGGCGGCGGGCCCCGGGCCCCGGGCGTTTACTTCTACATTACCCACGAGGTGATATTATCGATAATCGATATACTAAGTATACGTGTTCCGGTTTGGCATCGATTAATCTGTAACCTAAAAGCGCGCGGCGCGGGCGTGCCGCGGCTCGGCGCCGCGCCGGCTGCGGCCCGTCCGCGCCGCCGCCGCCGCTCCGCTATCGTCAGCGCTTGCACTCCACTCATCAGTTCGACTCGAGCTCGGCCTTTGTGCGCAACAACAACCGCTGACACCATCGCTATTGAGTCACGTCTACACGTATGTACATTATTTTTCTAATAATTCAGGGTCGCCCTTTGTTCCGTAACGGGAAACGAACGATCGACGAAGCGATACGTCGATACCGTAAAATTATTTCGCTTAAAGTTTGCAACTTGGTGTTTAATCTTATGGGACCTCGTGGTATCGCCTCAAAGATCCGTATCTCCTACGAAGCACCGTCTACGCAATTTAATCATATCCCGTCGCGGCCGCAGCGACCCCTACTTTGTGCTTTTAACATGAGGCCGGCTCTACAGTCGGATTACAAAACGAGACCACGTCGACGAATAATCTAAAACGGTAACATAATAAGTACTATAAGTAAAATAATGGCATCCATGAACAAAAACGACGCTAAAACAATTTAAAAAGCGTAACAACGTATTGCACAATCGTGAGTTTAAGAAAAAGAACTATACACACTTAAACGACAATTTTTTCATGTATATCATTTTATACATTGGCTTACTCGTAAATCAAACGCCTAAAACTAGAATACTATATCAATATAATATAATTATTTGTGTAAATATAAAATTCTATGTCTTGTGGTGAGTGTAATATTTGACTAGAGGCGGGCGGCGGCCGCTAGCGCGCGGCCGCGCTGCGACATCGCTGCGACCTCGCCGCGACCCCGCTGCGACCTCGCCGGGCACAGTCGCCGCTGCGCCGATAAAGAGTTGCCTTCTTCAGCTGATGCTTTTCTTATTTTTTAAATATATATTTTACACTTAATTTAGATTTAAGTTGCGACTATTTTTGTTTACAAACTGCGTTCATTATGGACAAACAAGCATGTATTATAGTGAAGTGTTTGCGAAGCGGGCAACTCTCGCGCGTGGCCGCAGTGGGCCGCTTCACCGCCAGCACACAGGGGCTGGAGCCCGCCCGCGCGCACACAATATATCTAAGGTATCTCAGTATCATTTTATATTTATATTGGTACTTTTTGATTATGAATCTATTTTTGTCTGTATAGAAATTACACTAGTTTTGTAATCTGTTTAATCGCGTACCAATCACTGTTGACTCCCTGGACGCAGTTCGTCACAGTTATTGTATTTAACATCTTAACACGAATAGTTTTATATATGTATAGACACACACACGAATGCACAAAACAAAAGTTGGGGAAGCACGCTCATGAATTGACGTCGCGTTGGAGCGAAGTATGGGACCTCACGCACACCACTGCAAACAGGCAACCGTCCTAGGTGTCCGTTGATAATCAATCGCATCATTCGGAAATTTAGAATAGGCCTCGGACCTTGTAGGGGATTCCCCGAGATTCGTGATATTTCCTGAAATTTTTCTGTTTATGTATAAAAATAAATTGTTTTATTCCATTATATAATGAAACTTCAGAAAGTATCCAAATTCGGATAGCTGCATACGATTGCTGTGTATGTCGTGTTTCCAATTGTTGCTGCCGACTGTGTTCGGAGTGGCTACCTTTTATTTGCGTACAAGGACATTTAATATTTTCATACGTTACGGCACATATGTGAATGAGAGTGGTGTGCGAGCGGATCCGTAGAGCGCAACATAGATTATGCAATAGAGATTAACGGCCTGTACAGTCCATTATGTTGATATTATATTTTTTTTATATCACAGCCCATTTGGAATTTACAACACATAATAACACGATCTTTCGAAACGAAGGCCTAAGTATTCGGTCTTATGTTGAAGTGCACTTTCATTTGTACACAGCGTTAAATACAAACATTTAATTTTGTTAACAACATCATTCACTAACATGTAGGTTTGTGAGCTGGGCGTACCAAGTACAGACAGACTGCTTCGTGTAGATATTATGTACAATGTTGTGTATTGTCTGCGTGTTCGTGTCGTAAACGGCTCGCTGTGTTGTTTGAGTGAGACGGAACGCACGTTTCCATAGTAGACATACAAAATAATAGCAAATCGTGATGTACAGACGTTTAGTTTAGAAGAGAACGGCCGAGAGGGCGCTCGGATGTCACGTCTCAGTCAAACAATCGAAAGATAAAGAGATGCGCGATGTCGCGTATAGGGAACTGTCGTGTGGTACACCCCGCGTATTAGCTTACCAGACACACACATAATATAATTTAACAAAATATAGGACATATATACTCCAATAGTGATCTATACCGAGCACTTATATTAGTGTGATCATGTTCGGCGGAGGGAGACAACAGTGTCCGCGACGAGCCGGGCGCCGCGCGAGCATCGCGCCCACGTCAAACGGAACGTCGACCTGCGGCCGGGCTGGGGCCGGGCCGGGGCCGGGCTGGGACCGAGCCGGGGCCGGGCCGGGACCGAGCCGCACCGCCACCAGCGGAACAACAAATTAGAACAGATGCTGGCGCGCCCCCGGCGTCACATTTTGTTGCAATATACAATAATTAAAATACATTTTTTCTTACATTTTCAACTTACTTAATAAATTCAGTTTGGCTTAGTTCAAGCAAATAACTAGTTTAATAAATTTATGTTAAAGTTTCAGTTAAACGTTAAGTACTTAGTAGTAGAAGTATGATTACGAATGACAAAATTTTTATAACGTGTCATTTTTTTTTATAATAATAATAATAATTTAATCAAAGTTAATAAATTGTATATATAATAATATAATAGAGTAATTTAATGATTAATCGATAATGATAAGAATGAAGCATTCCTACGCGCTGATTTAATAAATTACTTTAACTAATTTAGTATACTCGCCGAGTGGGCTTGCATAATTCTTTAGATAAGTATGTAGGTAATGATATTCACTATACAATAAATGTGTAAATTCCTTGGAATTGTTGATAATACGCGATCACGTGCGCCGCTGGCGAGGGAAACATTCCAGCCGCCTCCTGGGGACAAAGGAACACATTGAGAACGCAAATTTTGGCACGGTAATAGGGCAAAAGTGGGGCAATGAGCCTTAAATATAAACAGATCTGCTTTCATCCTCACCGATCATCACTCACAAGTGCTCCGCTAGCGTATACCGAGAACAGAGGCGGGGGTTAGTATTCCATTTTTACCCATTAAAAAATAAATAATCTTTTGTTCTATTAGGAAAACGTAATATACAGGGCAATCATTAGCCTACCTTAAGCCCTTGGACTAGTTTTTGATGACGCTCCATCCCTTTATGATGAAAAAAGGCTGGGCACTCCTGGGCGGTACCCGACCATGCGCCCCGGTCTAATGCCAGTACTGCTTTTATAAAAAGATAATACTCACCATGGGCACGTAGTGGGCGCGCAGGGACGGCGTCTAGGGTTAGTAAGGCCGGTTAGCATCCTTGGGCCGCTTCAGTTGCACTTTCAGCCGCTTCATTCCTATTTGGAAGCCGTTCATCGCCTGGATAGCTGCCTGGGCCGACGTTGGGTTGTCGAACGATACGAAACCTGTAACGTTGACGAAAATAAAAAAATAAAAAATGCTTTTTCTTTTCTTTTATATATACTACTGAAGTAGCAAACAAGCACACGGTCCACCTGTTGGTAAGCTGTCAACGGTTGTTGGCACGCTTTCAATTCCAGAGCCATTACGCTTTACAGATCCTAAAGAGATATCTTTAACTCTTTTTTGAGGATTCGCGTGTAATAGCTGGAAAATTATTTACCGTCTATTATTAGAAATAAAATATACTTTTAATCTTGGATACGTGTGTTTAATACGTGTACCCTCGGCAAAAATTAGAGCAGAAATGAATGACAGCCAGTCTATTTATTACTGCCCTCTCCAAAAATTATAAATACAAAAATAATGTAACGGATACATGATCGAATCAACTGCAATACTTAAATTCATAATTAAAACAATTGACATTCCAATAATCTCATAAGCATTTATATGGCAATATTTTATTAACATTGTATTATAAAATATTGTATTTATTAAAATAATATACTAAGATTTAATAATTGAATTATAACAACGTCAACAACAATCAATTGACTATCTATTTATAGTATTAGTAAATATGTACGAGTATTTGTATTGTAAAATCTTTATTGTTCATAACTCAGATTAAAACTGGTAAATGATTTAATATACAATGGCGGACTTATCCCATAAAGGGATTTCTTATTATCTTGTATTTGTATAAAATATAATCATATAGTCTAACACATGTTGTAGTGTTTTGGAAATTCTCGGAAATACATTCGTTAAAATTTGTTAAAACTTATAATTTACCAGTGATTTCGGTTCAAATTGTTTTTGCTTTTTAACTTTATTTGCCTTCAAGAGAACATAATGAAGAGGACGTCGCTCACTTCAGTCATGGCACGATCGTCAAACGTTGGTAAAAATAAAAATGAGGTATGCAGATACTATTTATTTATAATCGTGTCGCGTAAAGTCCTGTTATGTACGCTTATAAGGAAGTATTTATCTACGTAAAAATACAAACTGAAAGCAGTGTAAAAATCTTTATTCCTGTTAAAAGAATATAAAGCAACGAGAATTTAAGATGAGATATTTAAAGATCTATTCTTAATCTATGATATTATATAATATGACTAGAGAGATTGTCAATGTCAGTCTTCGACAGATATGCACTGTTCTCAATCTTTGAGATTTTTTATCTAGCAAATATCTAGTTGCAACGAGATTGTAAGTAGTATTCTTAATCTATGTATCCAGGTGTAAAATTCTTAGATGAAATACTATTTTTTTTTCTTTGTTAAATATAGCTGGCAAAATTATTTCAATTTGTATCTATTTTTAAAACAGACCAATAGTAGATGGAGAACAGGACTGAGAGATTAATCTTTATCTATATGAATATTGAAAGTAGCTTTAGTAGTGTAATTACTTTTAGTACATATAAAAAAACAGTAAAATTTTTATGCACGTTTTTCAGCAACTGGTTATGGCACACAAGCTGATGGCCTACCTGGTCCATGACCAAACAGTTGCTTGAGAATAGATACAAATATAATAGAGGTTCATTGGGGGGGGGGGGGGGGGGGTTGTTAGTAATGTGTACTATCACATCTTATGAACTTCCCCCCCTGGAAACTATTGTTATGATTTCCAAGTGTCTATATCACGATGAGCTAACTGACCTGCCTTTTCATTCTCACCTATCACCTATAGAGATTACACATGAAGAATTTTGTACAAAACAAAGTCTTTAGTGTTTCTGCTACTTTGTATACGTAATTGTTCATTGCAAATATATTATTATGATAGAAAACATTTTTTATAAATTATAAAAAAAATATTTTGGGGATCGGGAATTATCAGTCTTATTGCTAGCAATACATGCTGTCAGATTGATTCTCACGTGGTCCCCTCTATCTGGACGTGGGAATGATCTTGGTTAATTCTTGGTGAATTTGTCACGATGGGTCAACTGACTTGCTCAACCTCATCTATCAACCCCCATTGATGTCCCGTCAGTGTAAATGGTACAGGCGGGGTTGCCATTTCATTTTTATTCGTTTAGAAAACATTCTTGTATTTATGTTACTCACCGAAGCATTTGCTTTGATTGGTGGCCCGATCAATAAAGACTTTGGAACTGATGACGTTGCCGAAGGGTAGGAACATTTGCATCAGCTCTGCGTCACCAAACTCTTGCGGCAGGTGATAGATGAACAAGTTGCAACCCTCAGGACCGGAGATGGAGCATCCTGGGAACATAAGAAAATCTTTAAAGAACTCACAAATCTGCCTCCAGACACCAACGTTGGAAGTGAAACAAACAAAAAATAATATATATATAATATATAACTTGATATAGCAAATAAGCTGACGGCCCACCAAGTGGTAACTATCGTTTAGACGGGAACAACACTGCGATCGTTACAGAATATACTGTGACGCCCATCTGCATTACTGCTTGAGGACTAAGTTGTAATATCTCCGTACACAATAATTTCAATGCCTTATTCCCCTCTTATAACACTCCTTAACAAGTACGTAGATACATTTACTTTGTGTATCATTACAGGTGTAATTTTTCAATGTTTTCAGCATTTCAGATCTATATCTTATTTTGTTTTCTCTTATCCGTATTTTTCTGAATTTTCTATTGTGTAATTATCCCCTTTGTATTCTAATATAACTGTTTCAGATTTAATATAAGTCTATTGTATAAAGAAACACCTATCTTAATCATAAATTGTATTATTTTAAAATACCTGTCAAAATTAAAATAAATAAATGTAAAAATTATAAACGTCCGAGCTGCACACTATATTATTAAGTAACTATTATATATCTATTGACACAGTAGATAAAAAGCTTTATAAAAAGTTGTTTTAATGCGTGAAGGCATGTTAGAGACTCAGAATTGTACAGGTAGTTAAACTTAACATATCTATAGGTATATACATTGAACATTAATACACAAGAGTGCAAAACATTTACTAATAGACAAAGTACAGCGACAGACTCAGCTTGGAAGAAGTTTGCGTATGTGTTTGTTATGTATGAGCTATGTCTGTGTGTCACTGCACAGTGTCACGTACACATTAGTGTGAGACACATCGATACACTCACTATCACCTACACACAATGTTATGCATGTGTTTGTGTTACAAACTACAAAATGGCCGCTTTCCAGTAAAACTTGTGAAAAAATAATTTTATTTGCTAAAAAAATAAAAAAAAAAAGATAAATAATAATCCGAGAGAACTAATGCAGAAAAAAATGTATTAATTTTTGATTGGAGTTTTTAAAATTTAATTATTTAAATATAAAATATAATAGGTAATAAGTAAAAAATAAAATATTATTACATATAAAAAAAGACGTATATTTTAAAAAATTGTCATTCTATTAATGAGTTTGTACGTTTAAGTAGGTAAGCATTTTAATATTCTATAAAAAAAAAAAATAAAAAAAAATACTAAAATAGTACATTAAATAAGACATAGAGATATTAAACGATTGATTAATATTTTAATATATACGTATAAACAATGACATTACGACAAAAATGAATGTTTTATAAAAAAAAAAAATCGTGATCAGCTGGAAGGCGGCGGGAAAATAGTTACAGCATAGTCTCCATAAACATACACGCGCAGAAGTATCAAGCTAGAATGTTAAATAGTGTAGGTATAGCTCGAAATTATTAGGTCGTCTCTTGCTCTCGCTTGCTCCATCACGGGGCTCAACTTACCTTCTCTCTGCGCCGGCGCAATAGTCGACATCGGAGGTGGGATTGGCTGAGGGAACTGTCCGTATACCGCCGGGTAAGCTGTTGAACATTAATTTGCACATTTTCACAATGAACACCTAGTAGTTGCGTACTTACAGTTGCATGCATACACCATGAAATGTTAACATTTAATATCAAGCTAAATGATTCTGATCCAATATAAATACATTTGAACAATTTTAAGCGTCTATTTGTCATTTTTAATTTATGTTAAAAACAGTTTAACTGTTGGAACTGCGCAACAACTTCAGTTAACGACTGTTCAAAATAAATATAAATATTTTCGTGCGACCACATCATCTCGTATGCATAGCAAATAAAATGTTTAACCGCGTCATATATTTCAGATATATAATATTTGTACGTACATATAAACAATTCATAATTACAATATAAACACCAAACACACAACTACATTATATGTGAATTGATCAAAACGATTATTCGAATAGCGTGAACGAACAGCGCATAAAATCCTATTCGTACGACATTTCGTTTCAATCGATTGATCTATGTATTTATATATGTATTAAATCAGTTTATATAATATTTATTTCTGTAAGTAATTACGTACTTATTTTATTTCTTGAAAGAAGGTTAATTATATATGAATCTATTAATAAGTTATTTTAAATTTCCAATCAGTAGATCAATCGATTGATTAAAATTATAAACAATGACAATCTCTTTCCCTTGCACATCGATATTATACCACAAGTCCTAAATAATTACATACCTATATGCGATTAAGTTATACCTACTCATACTTAATCAATGTGAGTTATGAATACAAATAATATTATGTATCCGTTATTAACATGTCAATTTTGCATTTTGATTGATCGATAATTTCAATCGAAAATAAAGCAGGTAGTAGCTATGGGGTAACTTTTTCAATCATCGTGTAGTTTAGAGAAGCATTTCGTTTACTAATTATCTGCGTTTTGTATCTCTAGTGGTGTTTTTGACAATATTTTCATAACGGATACATTAAAAAGTACAAGTGACCGAGCCGGTCCAACCGGCGGCCGGGTAAGCGTGTGTACTGTGTAAGCAGAGGGATGGGCGGACGGGCGCCTAGGGCGGGGGCGGGGCGGGGGGCGGGGGCGGGTGCTAGGCGGGCGTTACTCACCGACTCCTGGGAACGGCTGCATGCCCGGGTAGGCCGCGTGCTGCAGGGCCGCCTCGCCGTTCGGGAGGCCTTGCGCGGTCACAGGCACCGCTGGAATTCAATGTTGCCAGTTATGAAACTTTTACGGTAGGTATTCAAATGCTGTTTGCCGACATAATGAAAAAGGGGATAAGTAACTTTTTTTTTTAATTAATCAGTCGATTACTTTTTTGTATAATTTGACTGTCAAAGGAAATAATAATACTAAATGAGAACACTTGGGTACAAATACTTTAGTAGAAGGATGTATGATTTAGTATAAATTGGAAATTTTTATATTTTAAATTTGGAATGACAAATGATCTGATGCACCTAATAAAAAATGGTAACCATCGCCTGTAGACATGAATACCATCACAGATATGGTATAATACACTGGAACGCCTATAGTACCCCTCATGCAAAGTGAGAAAAAGGTTTGTTAGTAATGAGACAGATCCCAGGGTTAGAACCTCCAATGCAGTATACTTCAACTGGGTTGACATCCATGCGGTTCTCCCTCGGAAATCACGTATGCCATCGTAAACCTGTACACTTCATCCAAGAAAATGTATCCCTCGTGTCAGGACTACGATGTTTATGCTTCCGCGTAATTCTCCAGCACTGTTACAGATTTTATATCAGTAAACAAAGTAAAACTTACGTCCAGTAAACGTCTGGTGTATGCCGTTGGTGTAGACGGCATCCTGCGGCGGGGGCTGTCCGTTGGCAGTTTGGGCCGCCATGTTGAAGCCTGGCATGGTCGGTGAGGGGAGGGACGGCAGCGCTCCGTTCAACGGCTGCGCGCCTCCTGTGCCTATCGCGAGGCCCGTGAAGTTGTCTGCGGGAATAGAGGTCAAATTAACAACTAATGTATACTGGGTGAAATGAAGATCATCAGCATACTTCGAACTGAGTGTGTTTCAGTTCAGGGCACGGAGGCAATTTTTTTACAACACTGGGGGCAAACGAGCATGCGGCTCACCTGATGGTAAGTGACAACCGCCGCCCATGATCACCCACAACACTAACGGCATTTCAGGTGTGCTGCCGGCCTTTTAAAAGGGAATATGCTCTTTTCTTGAAAGTTATGTTGTCATATCGGTTCGGAAATATTGCTACTGTAAGTTGATTTCAAAGAAAGTGCCTTGAAAAAGGCACGGTGGAAGACCGCCACTCGTCCAGATGGTTGGGATGAAACCATATATGATGGCATAACATCATCATCATTATATAGTCCATACTGTCTACTGTTGAACATAAGCCTCCCCCATAACAGGGAGAGGGGTTGGCAGTAGTTGCTACGTTTGGCAAGCTAATTGGCAACCGCATTTAGGCTTTTGGTGATGTTTTAAGAAACACGCTGCTACCTATCCCTTGACCGTTAAATTCCCTTAGTTGCCTGTCAAGAGACCTACGGAAAAGAAAGGGGTAGCTCATTCTATGCCGGGACCATACAGCATCATAACACAATAGTTTCCAATAATGGCGACACATGAGGGGTATTATTAGTATCACAGTATATTATGTGATGTCCATGCATAGGCGACGATTATCACCATTTTTCAGGTAGGCGGTTAGCTTGTTTGCCATTCTAAGCATTATTTCAGTAATTTTATTTCGAAAGAAACGTGGGTCGAAGATGGATATGAAAACTGAGGGCCTACCATGAAATGTTTTCCGAAATTTCGGAGCCAAAAGAAACACAAATTTGATGTTAAAATTACATAATACATGCCGTTTAGAAATATTTAAAATGTTAAAATATTGTTCCTTTGGACTTTTATGATAGGATGTATGACGAACGAAATGTTAAACTCCATTTATTGGTCCGACTTTGGTATAAACAAAAACACGAAATTGAGTCCGAAATTTCGGAATTTCATTTCATTGTAGACCCGCTGAGCTCATACTCACTGGTCAATAGAAATAACATTTATTTAAATAGACTTGTTTACAAGCACTTTTAAATCGTAATTTTTTTATGATTCTACTGCTGGGTTTGGGATGCTATCTGCTGAGAAGAAACTCAACGGTTACTATTTTCAAATCCCTCGCTCGGGGGAAAAGGGATTGTTAGTAATGGAGACTGAGAATCCCATTGCTAGCAATATACCCAACCAGGTCGAACTCCTCGCGGTTCTCCCTGGAAACTATCATGGTTAATTGCTGATGAATTCATTATGATGGGCTAACTGGCCTGTTTTCATTCTCATCTATCGCCCTTCACTGGTGCTCCGCCAGCGTATCCCGTTAGCGCAGGCGGGGTTACCATACCATTTGCACCCATCAAAAAAAAAAATCCCTCGCTCTCGCCCTCCCTTAGTCGCCTTTTACGACATCTGCGAGAAAGTATAGGGTGAGTTTTTCTACGACAAGATACTCGTATATACGGCTACATATTTTTTTCGGACTCTATATTTTGTCATAAATTATGAATTCATGTTACAATAAAGTGATAATGAACGTATTATATCAGTGTTTTGCTCTTTGAGAGCAAAGCAATAAACTGAGTTGTGACCGTTTTGTGTTACAATACATTATATTTTTTTTATTTACATTTTGCACAAGCATGAAAAATTGTTCCCTTTTTAATTTAAGCACTTTCCTTTTGTTTTTTTTTTTGTATATGTATTCTTTTTTTTTTAAATATGTACCAAGAACTGATGTTATTTGTGTGCTGTAAGTGATGAAAAAAAAAATCATATATCTATCTATTTGTTAGCATGATTTTACTATCCCGGCTTGTAGTGCTTGTCTATTTAAAAAAAAATCCTAATACTGACTAGAGAATAACTATTGAACGATTCTAGAAAAAACATAGATTAATAATGTTACCAAGAGCAATCCCACGTTAAAAGCTTAAGCTCTTCAAGCTTTTTATGGATAAATGTTATTACTCAGTAAATGAGTTTTAAATGATAGAATAATTATAAATGATTAGATATGTGTTCACTTTGTGTTGTCTATATTTTAATGATTTTATATTACAATGAATTGACATGAATAGATACAAAAAGTGACAAAATATTATTGCAAATGTTTATGTTATTATGATAAAATTATTTTAATGTTTTGTTTAATAAGTTTTTATATTTGCACGCCTACAGTGTGGCAGAATAAGATTGGACTATTTTTCTTGTAAAGTAACACCTAAAAATGTACCTTATTCCAGCAAATAAATGATTTCAATTTCAATTTCAAAAATCAAGTGCAGTTACAATATTTAATTTTACAACAATAGGAAAATTTACAATCGACAATAATACATAAGGAAGGAAGAATACTTTCGGTACGCTACATAATTAAGGCCAATTACAAGCTTTCAAAAATAACGACAGTAATCACATAAACCGCAGATAGAACATCAAATAGAATAAAAAAAAAAAAACTAACACCATACAATACTTTCATTTAGCACCTTCAAATCTTACTAGCAATTTTCCAACCATCTAACCTATACAATTCACATTATAGACATTTCTTTGTAGACTGAATTGCAACCAGATGGGACCTAATAAAATAAGTTCTAAAAGAAAAACTCAATTTGTCGCCGAGAGACGTAAGTCTGGGCCAGAACACCAGTCGGAATACTAAGCATGACGATTGCCTTACAAAGACCATATGTGTACTTCTTTGAACGAATTACGTCGTTTGTGTGGACATTGGACAGGGGTCGCTGCGACCAGGGCGCGATCAATGACCCTCCTATAAAATTTAAGAAGGTATGAAATGTTTTTGAAATAGATAATAACACTATCCCGTACTAGCAGGCGTATAGAAAATGCATGTAAACGTTTTTTTTTTATGTAATCGGAAATAGCGAATAAGCTGACGGTCCACCTGATGGAAAGTAGTAATCCTCATCTGTAAATATGAATAGTATCATGGCCATACCAGAATATGCTGCCATTTCAATGGTATCCCCCATGCATTGCCATTTTAGAGACCTAAGATATTATGCCTCTGTACCCTGTAATTTAAATTCTATATTTTATCTTTTAAACTATAAAAAAGCCATAAAAACACAAGTGCTACACGACAGAAATGTGAGAGGGACAGAGATACTTCTTTATGTACTAAGTGTTATATTGTGGAAATCCATGTCACTGGTTATTTTATTAGAATTATTTTGTTTAATTCCGCTACCATTAGTATATATCTATGTATATGTATGACTGCCAATACTCGAAGATGAACAAGTTTAGAAAAACCAGTGAGTGAATAAAATGGCAGTCAAAGATTGATGGCTAATATGGAAGATTGTGGAATTTCTGGCAGTAGTAGTGGTGGTCAATCTTCGAGTGTTGGCAGTCACACACATACTAATGGTAGCGGAATTAAACAAAATAATTCCAATCAAATAACTTTTTTATGACTTTACAAAGTACAATTTGAATGGGGGTTCGAGATAAAATATTAAATTATAAATATTATTAGTCAGAGTGATCTTGCGCTTTATTATCCCCGTTCATGAAGGGCTCAGAGTTCGAGAGATTTCAGATTTTGGCCCCAAAATTTTGTATGTCAATTTTAATTACAAACTAATTTTCCTCGGTAAAGTTGATTTGAGAGACGGCGGTGGGCTTACCTCCCGCTAATAAATTATGACGTCAGCTGTACATTTAATATTTTTTATAAAAATCATTCGGGTAATTTTATTGTGATAATATAATAGACTTGGGTATGGACAGTTAATTTGCATTATTAAGGATCTATCTAGATCCTTAGATCCTAAGATGGACCCCAGGGGTCCAAGGGAGACTCGATATGGGTTTACGTTGGTGTGACAAAAAAATAAGTGTAAGTGAGAATTGATTGGTTCCTTGTACTGTAAGTGAATGTCAAAAAAGTAAAGTCGGATGGAATCACTTTTTTGATTAGTCAACTTCACTTTCTTGACCTCCATTCACAGCGCAATCAGTTCTCACTTTTTTCGAAAATTATTAATTCTTGGTTGGAACTCAGCCGCAACGCAGATTTCATAGTTAGATCTAATTAATCTTCACATTTTTTGTCGAATTTTGGGAACATGCTAGAAATGTACCTGCATGGGATACACCGGAACCAGCAAAATTTTGAAAGTGATCTATGAGAAAAAAGCCTGGAAACCTCAGATCTAGATATTTTCCAAACCTTTGTAGAGATGCTGGAATCAAGTTTGAAAGGGTACACGAAGAAACTTTATTCGAAAATTCTTGAGGTCTAGCGGTTTAACATAGCACGATTCCCGCATAATACAAATATTTATATTCATAAAGTATGTCTGTTTGTATTGATCTGGGTGATTTCTGTATATAACATGCATGTATTTACAAAAAAAGTATGTCTATAAATCGTCTAGTACAAGTTTTGCATAATTTTTAACTAGATGGCGCCGTGTGTATGTCTCGTAGTATGTATTATTTTGTACTGCTACCATGCTGTTATAATGGACTAGTATACTGTTGGGTACGTTACCTACGCTATATCGTCACCAGACAGATGTTTTAATTACACATTAATATTTAGTACGTAGTCTGTAAGATATTAGAAATACAGGTTAACATTAAAATATGGGTCAAAAATGTACAAGGAGATAAGGATTTGAAATGAGAATCAAAAGGACCAGCGTGAAGTATTGTAGTTTTCATCCGACTTCAAAAAGAAGCAGGTTCTCAATTCGCTTGTATTTTTTATGTTTGTTATCTCATAACTCTGTAAATCGATTTGGAAAATTATTTTTTATCTGAAAGGATATACTTACTGTAGGTCCTATATAAATTTTACCAAAATCGTTTCAGTAGATAAGTTTTTAAATCAAAATATCTGATTTTGATAAAATAGAAGTCGATTTTGTTATGTGGAACACAATCTTAATTATTTACTAAAAGATTTATTTTTGTTATAACTTATAATCACTTACAATCAATCAATCAATCAATCAATCATAAAGTCAGTCTACATCATTCAATTTGGCAATAAATGACATCTGACATGACATTTGTCATTAGAGGTCTCATACACGATCATACAGCATACAGCATACTTTTAGTTCAAATAACCGACAATCGGTGTGAAAGAATTCAAGCCACACTTAAAGTTAAACACAGCTTCTTCAAGTAGAGAAAAACGTTGTGTGCAATGAATCTCCTTAAATGGGACATTTATTTTAAATGTATTGCAGAGATCCATTATATGCATGTTGCTTATAATACATTGGAGTGAAAATGTTTGTAGTTACTTTTAGTAATTAAAAAAAATGTAAGCTAAGCGCATCGGCCGGACTAATTTTAGGAAATGGATTTTTTTTCCAAATTGGCTTCATTCGAGTGTCCTGGTTTGTGGTTCCATATGTTGCCTGATTTCTTATAATGCAGGGTATCTTAGTTTGAGGAGCAGGCCATTAGAGTGATGGTGTAACACTTATTACATTGCGAACTCACCAGAGGTGGGTGGTACGACGGAATTGGCCATGCCGTTGAGCGCATGCGACGCGAGCGCCGTCATTGGACTGATGTAGCCTTGTGCGGTCGCCGCCACCATCAGAGCCGCTTGTTGCTGAGGAATGATTACGAATGATTAATTGTAATAACACTTTGTGTTTTATGCATAATATATGCCTGCTGAACATAGGTTTCTCCCATAGACTGCTATAAAGAACGGACCAAAGCCACCACTTCAACTTCATCCACGGACAATTGTGGTGAACAGTGGGTAATTAAAAGCTTTTCATATGAATCAGATATAATAAAGTTTGTAATTTCAAATAAAGTTTTTGTACCTTTCAATTAAATACTTGTAACTCCTAACAAAATACTTGTAACTTTCGACAAAATACTTGTAAGTTCCAACAAAATATTCGTAATTTCCGATAGAATACTTGTAAGTTCCTGTATAGAATACAGCTCACCTGCTCTGTGATGACCTGCGCGTAGGTGCCGTAAGCTCCGAACTGGTTGAACACGAAGGGGTTGAGTAGACTCATGTTGCCAGCCATCTGCTGCATACGTCGGAGTTGTCTCTCTTTCTCGGTGTCAGCGAATTTCACCACTAGACTCGAGGACGCACCCTGGAACAATTTATATGTATTCTGTTAATTTTTTCCCTACAGTTAATTATGACTAGTAGTAGTTTATAGTTTCATATTACTTTAAATAGTTTACGAATATCCTAGTAAGTTATAATAGATTTTTAATCTCTAGTTTATTATTGAAATAAACCTTAGATTAGATTAGAATAGATTAGATTAGAACATAACTGTAAAATTACTTTCTTTGACTTCCACGAGACAGGCTTTGCCTAGTGTGGAGTCATAGCCATATTGTACCATAGGCTAATTTTGTTAAAGGAAATAAAGATATTCTTATTCTTATATTCTTATTGTGGATTACATGTACTTAGATGATTTTAATGCCTGAGTACTAATTAATATTACATAAATTATCATAATTTTTAATAATATGTGTGTTGGGTTGTTTTGTTTAGTTAAAAATACGAGCAGATAGATACTTTTTATTGTTTCCTTCAAAAGATTACAGCGGTAAATTTTGTAAAAATACGTAAAAGAAATTATTAGAAATAGTTACATATATATACATATAATTACGACGATTTATTGTTGTTTCGTTAAATTAGTATGTATATTTTAATTGTGATTATATTTGATTTTATCTTCGTATGTGTTTCTTGATCTATTAAACAAAAACTCATAGCCACATATTAGCTTGCCATTGCTGTGGTATAAAAAAAAAATCTAAATTGTAATAAAAATAACATTTATAACAAAATTTATAATTTACTTCAAAATTTAATGTAATCGTCATAAAAAGTGTTATATATACATATAATGATTTATATATAGTGTTAGCAATAAATATATATTTGTTATCGTTCCATTAATATAGTGTAAACTGTACCAAACAACAGTTTTCCCTGTGCGACATCAAAAAGTCAGTTACGGCCTCATTCCACACGCTCGACAGTAGCTAGTAAACCGGAATAATTCAGCAGTCGTTCAACATTACGCTCGTAACAAACGGAAAGCCACTTAAAACTCCGAAGACTATTTCAATTTGCCGCAAACTACAAAGCAACAAAACTCCTACAGCGGGAACTAAATGGTGAATGCGAGCGGCATTCATTATGTATTTGCAGACAACGGGCAAAAATGGCTCCGCGTGGCATAGGCCGGGCACGTAGAGCGCAACAGGTCGCCGCCCCGGCGGTGCAACAAGTTATTTGGGCTCGTATCCAAAAATGCATCGGCCGAGACGCACGACCCGCAAACTTCGCCGTCCTCTCTTGCGGAAAACTGGCTTCCTTCCCATCCGGGGCGTAATAGTTCCGCCGTTAAGGCTCCACTTTCGTTAATTGACTGACGTTAAGTACTTCGTTAATTGGGCGTTAATTAGTCGGCGGCTGCTTTATCGATCCGTGCACGTTTTGTTATGCATGCACTGCGAGTGGGCTCGTTCGATTGGAATTGAAACTCGGCCGGTGCTTTATGTTATTCCGACGGCGTTTTCATTTGTTTGATTCCAATTTAATTCTGTCAATTAAATATTTCATCGCGACTACTTACTCGTTATTTGTTGTCGTTTTAATTATTCTTAATGTAGTAAAAAGAGACATTTTATTATGGTTGTCAGCATAATTTTAAATAATAACATAAATTTTATGTTTACGCTAAATATTTGGACATATATTTGCATATGCGTCTAACTTTGTCTAAAAATATAAAAAAAATAACATGTAGCATGAGTTATTTTTAATAAGCTATTTTAATTATATAATACTTATGTTCTATTTTTAATCTGTAAATAAAAATTACACTACTAATTATAAATGTAATTCATTTTCTTTAAAATTAGTAACTTATGAACAAATTATTTACCACATTAATAGTTTATTTATCGTTAAAGTAATACATTTTTATTTCTTTATTAACGGATATTCAACACCTTTTAAGTGAATAAAATTAAGAAAAAAATTGTTTGTTTTGCATTTACATTATTAATTTTAGAAATTTCTTTATTTTATGAATTAAAGTTTTTAAAATAAAACAGAAATTTCAATATATAGGCAATATAATAAAAAGGAAAGATTATTTTTTTTTTATGTTCTCAAAACTCAAAAATTATAAATTGATTTTAAAAATTAATCAATAGGTAATATCTTATTAAAAATAAACAAAATAGAGATCCTTATGAAAATTATAACAAAGTAACTGAAGGTATCAAAAATTTTTAATATAACTATAGTTAAAATATTAAATTCTATACAAACTATAATGTACCTACCAAGTTTTAAAACAAAAATTAAGGACTTTTATCTTAGCAAGTTGTCATATTCATAATTTGTGTCTGATAGTATACTCAAATTCTTTTTATTTTTGTAAATGTATATGTATGTATATGTATATATATATATTGATATATATATATATATATATATTGATTTATTTATGTATGTATTAGTAATTTAAAATATACATTTATATATTCACATTATTGTACGTATGCATATTTCTATATGTATTTAAAAAACGTACACAGTTTCGTGCCTCCAGTGAAACTGTTTATAATTACTCTTCTCCATCCAAAGGTTGCCTGGAAGAGATCGCTTTTAACGATAAGGCCGCCTATTGTTTTCTCAGTGTAATATTTTCTTGTAATTGTTTGTATTTATAATAAGTTTACTATTGTAATCTTATGGAGGAAACAATAAAGAGTATCTATCTATCTATAAAATGTGAATTTATTTTCCTGTCTATCTAAACATGCGATTTGCACTAACTTCACACTGGTAGTGAAGTTAGTGTAAATTGCAAGTTTAGATACAAAAATCTATGCTAAAAGCACGTTTACAAATTACGCTGAATACAAAAACAGATAATGCACGTCGTTGTTAAGTTATGGGGCGGTCCATTTGTCGATGAAACTCTAAAGATAGCCCACAATGTAAGCACGAGGTTTACGTTCATAATCGCATGTTACAATGTTGTTGTCTGCTGTACTTACGTGTCGCTTGAACGTTAATGGTGTAACGTTTCGGGTTAAATCCCAAGTTACGTCACGAGAACTCACTGTTATTATATTGTGTTAAAGTGGACTTGTGATAACAGTACACTTGTTAGAAAATGTATTATGTATCAAAAATTTATAATAGCATCGTTTGTATTTTTAATGGATGAGAATGGAATGGTAATTCCTCTGCGGTATGGGTTTACGATGGCAGGGTACTAGTGAGAGATGATAGGTAAGGATGAAAGCAGGTAGTGACGAATTTTACAAGAATTAAACGCGATGGTATCCAGCGTGGATTTGGACCTGATAAAGTATAATGGTAGCGATGAAGCTGTTGGATTACTTTGTTGAAAATACGCAAAAATGCATTTTTAATATTTATTTTATATAGCATAATTAGATTTTTTCTTGTTATTATTATTATTTTTTCAGTATTATATCATTATAATGTTTGATTTTTTAGTTTTTGGTGAGTGCATTGGTAAACTTGTAAAACTCAACAAAAAATGTATATATATATAAATAAATAAATAAATAAATAAATAAATAATGCAAGATGTCTACCACTGCACAGGGGAAGTGAGATTGTTAGTAATATGGCTAATTCCCTAGCAATGTATCCTAGCAGGTCGACTTCCATGCTGTTCCTCCTGGAAACCATCGTGAATAATTCTTGTTGAATCTACCATAATGAATTAACTGATCTGCCTTTTCTTTCTAACGTATCATCCCTCACCGGTGCCTTGCCAGTGTATACTGTTAGCGCAGGTGGGGTTATGGTTCCATTATCACCCACTAAGTAGCTGCCACTGCGCTAAGGGGACCGTTAATGCACAAACATATTGAACTGTAATTTTAGGTTTGAGTACATAGTTATTAATAACGCTGATGCTATTTTGTCTATCTGTCTATCTATCTATCTATCTATCTATATACTACGGGTATTTTGAACTTTTTAGAAAAGAGAATTTATCTATTTTAAATTCTTTCTTACCTAAGTATATATTATATATAAGTATATATATTAGATAACATTTTATTATTCCAGCTGTTAATTCTTCACCGCTGAACATAAGCATTCCTCATAAGGGGAGTTTTGGCAGTATTTGCCATGTTTGGCGCGCCTCGAGGTACGTCGTGTGGTTTTTAGTTCCCACACACCCCAGCTGCCCTCCCTTCGGCAGATGGGACGGTCTTTCCGAAGATTTTCCACACGGAAAAAAAAATGTGTGTAGGCAACCGCAGTTAGGTTTTTGGTGATAGTCGCCTCCCACACACGGCCATTAGAAAACATATACAGTGTCATATACATTTTTTTTTATACAACTTAGAATGGCAAACAAGCTGACGGCCCACCTGATGGAAAGTGGTAACCGTCGCCTATAGACATGAGCAGTACCATGGACATAACAGAGTATACTGTTACGCCCATGATACCCCCCATGCGTTGCCATTCCTGAGGACTCAGATGTTATTCCTCTGTACCCAGTAAATTCACACCATATCCCACCATTCAAACCGAAACACAGCCATGCAAACACAACTGCTTCACGGTTGAAACACGAATGGGACAGAGGTACCCAAGCAATCGACTTTTGTACAAAGTCTCCCTCTGGAATTTCAATTGTGCAGCATCTATAGTACTTCTTAATTTGGGCTAGATTTGAGAATTCGAAATATCTTGAGTGTGCCAGCCTGGTATGTTTTTTTAATGCGTAATAATGGAATGGTAACCCCGCCTGCGCTATCGGGATCTGGTATGTTGGAACATTAGGTGTAATTGTTTACAAAATACCGCCGCTGAACATAGGCGAAGGCTTGTCAAACAATCCCTATTCTATTTATTTTTTCCATCTATTTGCAAAACAAAGTAGAGGAAGTCCTATTGGGAGGGTTCTGGCAGTAGTTTTTGGCAGGCGGGTTGGCAACCGCAATTAGGTTTTGGTAACGTTTAAAAAGGGACGCTGCTGTCTATTTCTCAACCATTAAGTTCCCATAGTCACCTCTTACGACACCCATCGAAAAAGAATGTGTTGTTTACGTC